ACCAGTGCTGCCCCTTCCATCTCCTCATGCAGAGCTCACTGCCAGGCTTGAATAGGGTTAAGGTAATGGGTTCTTACAATTTACTTTTATTTAAACTACAAGCTTTTAAGAAGCATAAGCAGACATGAGTTTGCCCCATTTCTATTATTTGGATGTAGAATCAAGCTTTGTAATACAGAGAATCTCATTGAACACAATTACACTGAACCCAGGGGTCCCCGGGGCAGCCGCCTCATTCTCCGCCTCCTCCCTGCTGTGAATTCCAGGTCATCGCCCCATCGGCGCTGGCAACACAGGGACAGCCGTCCTCATCTCGGTCTCGAAGCCCTGTGTTCCTTACCTAGTGTGGCTTCATGGAATCGTACGTTGTCAGATACGGAGTTGAGGCACGAGACAAAGAGCGTAACCCTATGGAACAGGTGTTGAGTCTTAGAACAGAGTTGTCATGCGGCCCTGTGACGACCGTCAGCTCCGGTTCCCCCAGAGGGTCATGCTGCTTTCACTAAATGGCAGATAAAGTCCGGCTCACCAACAGAACTTATTTACTCTAATCCAGAAAGAATATGTGGCTGATAAGCAATTAAAAGAAATTCTCATCACACACGATTCTTTACAGATGATTCTGATGAGGAGATTCAAAGCAGAAGATATACCTCCTGTTTTAAGCAAAATGAACACTCTAGCCACATACCTACCAGATCTATCTGTGTAATAAATTCCTTTTCAATCACAGTTCTTACCTAAACATTGCATAAGGTCAAAATGAGAAGGTCTGCATGTATATCAGCTGGATTGCTTTTTATAAAAAGAGAAAGAAGCTGGTTTTCTAATACTTGGAAAGAAACCCACTATACATATCCAACATAAAACTAAAATTTATGCTGTACCAATACGTGGTAATATCTAATTTCCCCCCTTCTTCAGATCAATAAAACTCAATTTCCACACGTGACTGAAATGGAAAGCTCAAAGTTCGATAACGGGTTCCAAGTATGATCTTGGCCTTGACTGACATTTTTTTCTCCACTTATCTTGGAATTAGAGGAAAAGCCTCTAAATTTTAAAAAATGGATGTTTTGTACCTCATTTGAACAATGCATCCTATCAAAAAAATCTTTGATTGGGTCTGTGTCAGGCAAAGTAATTTTATGTTATCACATTACGCTATTAAAAAAACAACTATGAATGAATACTGACGACTTAAAAAAAGGGGAGGACTCTGCCCACACTCACGAAAAAGTAATGAAAACAAACACAGAAGCAATTACCAACCCGGGCTGCAGTTTATAGTTTAGTAAATACAAATTCTCACTCAAAATCACTACGTTATCTTTTCCTCAAGTCACATATTTAGGAGGAAGGATTTCTGAAAGTTAACTAAAAGCGCAAAATGATTTTAGACTCAGAAAGTCCTAAATGTGAAAGACCCAGCTCTGGATGAACGACTCAGTGCAGCAACCCACCGACGAGAAGCTTCTGAGAGGCAAGGACGCTGCTTAGAAGCAAAGCAGAAGTTATTACGGCTAAGCTACACTTGCTTAGATTTGAGGCTGTTTTTTATATTTAGAAATGAACTGTAAAAATAAACCAACCAAGGAAGATAACATCTTAGAGATGTAGTTTCCTAGATAAAAACTTGTACAGTATTTTCTTGTTTTTGTACAGATTTTATTTATTTTTAGAGAGATGGAAAGGGAGGGAGAGAAACGTCAATGCAGGAGAGACTCATCAACTGGTTTTCTCTCGCAGGGAGAGAGAGAAACGCCAGGGACCTGGCCCGCAACCCAGGCCTGTGCCCTGACTGGGAATCGAACCAGGGACCCTTTGGTTCTCAGGCTGGTGCTCAATCCACTGAGCTACGCCAGCCAGGGCTGTACAGTATTTTCATGGCCTGACATTTAGTACAGAGTAATTTTCCTCAGAGTATCTCACTCACTGTCTCCTTCTGTTTCAAAGATTAGTAGAACTTTTTCAGGTATACTTCAACTATTTTTAAAAATACTTCAGACCAAATAGAAGTTAATCTTCCAGCAATGGAGACCCAAAGAAGGCAGAACACTGATGAAATTTATTCACTAATTTCCTGAAAGGTAACTAATCTCTTCCCATAAAAAAAAAACCGCACCACCTGTTCTCCCAAGACCCTTAAATATCAACAAATTAATCTAGGCTCTTAACAAAACTGAGAGTTCTTTAGAAAAAGGTGACTATTTAAAGTTTTATCAAGTAAGCAGAAAGATTAACCAAAAGCTTAATTTTGAGATATAAAATTATTTTTGCCACCGAAGGAGAAGAAACAAGAAGAGAAGCTAACAATTTATATACGTTTCAGGACTCTCCCTCAAAGGGAAAAGAATAAAATCAAATAACAAAAAGGCAGATATTAATGAAACTAATTTAAAAGAAATAAATAGAATGTTAGTGTTTTACTGACCTATCCTCACTTTGAATTTGTGCAACTCCGAGAGCATCAGCAATGGTGAACAAAGAAACTGGCGCACGTGTGTGCGCTGGAGTCTCTCACACCAAGAGAAAGCGAGGCAGGAGTCGGAACCGGCGGCCCGCTCTTCCTGGGGTCAGCAGAGCTAAGACACGTACGATCGATTTAAGTATGTGCATTTCCATGTAATAATTTCTGTCAAATTATTGTTAAGACACAAATTTTTCTTCAATTATCCCTGTTTCCCTTGATGCAATTATTAGAAAAGTATTACAATTTTTAAAAGACTATCAGTTTTAGGCTTAGAAAATAAGAACAGGGTTTTTCTTAGGATTCTTATTTCATGAAAGCTCACTACAGGGCTATCTGGTAAAAAAAAATTCAACTTGTTTTTAGAAAAATGTCCACCAGTTGCTGCCCTGATACGTAGATGTTCCATGTAAAATCTAGCCTGGCATTCGAAATCTGACTTTTGGAGTGTGTGATATGTTTAACAATTGGCTATAGGAGGTGGAGGGCTAGGAATAAAAATAACTCTAGCCCTTCCGATTGAATCATCTGAAATTCAGATTTTTTTCCCTGTACAGGAAAATAAATTAATTTCCATTTAAGACTGAAGAAGGCTCCACTTGCCCTCTCACTGAGACAATGACCACAGAGGGGTCACATCTGTTTCTGAGGGAGCCAGCAGCAGGGAGCGCAACTCCTTTGAGAAGATTTTAAATAAATACATTTCTATACAGATAATCATATAACCAGTTTCAGAAGACAAAAGAAAAAGCCTGCATCTTAATGGCATACTATAGATTTGCCAAAAAAGAAGCAAATACAGAATATAATGGTACTACCAGGAAAATACACTTTGACTGGTCGATTTAGAAAGGGCACCTCTGTGTAAAGGTTCAGAAAACCACCTGACAAATGTTTTTAAACAGTGAATCTTGCAGAGTGTGAAGTCTGGAAACGTCAGCACAAGGCACACTGGGCTCTGAATAACCGCCGCAGTTTTAAATTAGAACAAGGAAAAAGAAATAGGTTTTGGGTGGAAATGCAGTAAGATGCTGTACATTAACTATTTCATTCCTTCCACCGAAGTGCTACACCGCACCGCACGACGCACATCACAGCAGAAAAACAGCTTCTCTCTTCTGTCACCTCATCAAAAAGATCCTTTAAACCCATGCCGTCCAATACAGACGCCACTGGGAAGGTGTGGCTAGTGAGTACTTGCAATATGGCCAGTGTCACATGCTGACACAGTAAGACGTGGGATCTCTCAGATGAAATAAAATGTTTGGTGAAGATCAATTTCACCTCCACTGTCATTCAGGAGGTAGAGCGATGGCTGCTCCTAAACGGCTCGGAGGAAACATACAGTGTTCTTTGTCACTTAACAAGGTCAAGTTTTCTGAAGGACTTTAAAAATGCCAACAGCTGACAAATAAAAATTGCAGCTCCCACCTAGCCCAACTGTAAATCTAGGTTATATATTTCCCTGAATACATGCATTAAAAAAATAAAATTTAAGTTATGAGACAACATATGAATTAAGTCAATTTCACAGTTATAAATATTTCAAATTACAGGTAAATGCTATAAATTACAAGAAATAAAATTCAAGTAATAGAAAAAGGAGAAAAATAAAAGAAAGCTATGAAAGAGGGATATAACAATAAGAACTGCACCATATGGATAATTTTGTTTGAAAAAATTTTACTTGATTAACTGAACTGCACGTGAATAACTTCAAGAGCTAAGAGCTCTTAAAGTAAAAGGCAATCAATCCATTCTTTAAGTTCCTGGACGTTCATCTTCTTCTTTGAAAAGCACGAGTATTTTCTTCCCAGGACTGATCCCTACAGAGCTGGCCCCTCGTGGAGGGGTGCAGAGGGCCCGAGGGCTCCCCGCACGGGAGCCTGGCCGGGGTGCGGACACGGGACCTGGCGGCAGTGTCCACAGGCCTGGCTCACGGATGCTGGCTCCGGGAAACACCCAGGATGGAGCTATGTCTCTCTCGAGGTTTAGTGCTCATTAAAGAAAGCAGCCCCTGTACTGGCATGAAGTACAGACCACTAACAAACCGGGCAGCGCGGCTCCTGCGGTGCATGTTTATGAGGAAAGGGAGGGGGTTAATCCCAAAGGCAATTTAAATAATGGTATTTTATTTTTATATATAAATAAATGTTCTGAGAACTCTCAGACTTTAGTGCATTGTTGTAAAAAATTAGTGCAGTTTTTTTCATTAAAATTTTTAGCGCTCAAGGAATAAGATAATCTGTCTGTTCATAGTCTCTTTCACTGTACATTAAACTTTTATACTGCTATATGTCAAACAGAAGGTTTCTATACCGGTCTGTTTTTAAAAATCAAGGTAAATGGATTTTGTGTTCTATGACAAAACATGGCAATTATTTTTGGCAAAGAAATTAGAAAAATACGAGATCATAGTTAGAAATCAAGTTTGTTGATTTAAAGCATAGGCAATGCATAAGAAAAAACTTTTTTAAAGGATGTATTTTAACAGAACTTTATCCTTCATGCAAAATGTTTTCTCGGCAGCTAACTTAAAAAAAATATTTCAGCTTTATTTGGGGACGAAGACAGTGACAGGAGCCAGGGCGAAGGGCAAAGGAGAGGTGAGTAACCAGGCCCGTTCTGCGTTCAAGTCTCCCCTTCGCAGGATCGAAAGGACACCCGCAAGCATCTTCTGCTCTCTCCTCTCTTTTTCCAGTGTCTTGGGATCAAGAGGGGAAAGAAGTGCAGTTGTAAAGCATGGGCTCACACTTCAGCCCCAAGCTCTAGGACCCCAGTTTCAATCACAGTCACGTATTTATCCTCAATCTGGACCAGGAGCACTGTCTTGTCGATGTGGGATCTAGTGCCTGGATCCCTGCTGCAAGGCACCCATCGGTGAATCACCTAATAATTCAGAGTGAAACGAGAAGTCAGTGGCAGTGACCTTGAATACACGCAACAAGCTCTTGTCCTTCACTTAAGATTAGAGGCAGCAGTTCTATCAGGTGATTAAACACGAGGACATACATCAACTAAAAACATGGATACAAGTCAGTCAGCTACAGAAAGTCAGTGCCCGTGAGCCTCGCAGGAGAACTTACGTGGCCTTCCATTCCCTCCTGCGGACTCCAGTCCTTCCAGCTGTTTCTCCCGGCTTTCAACCGGACGCCCTCATCGGGCCACTGCAGCTCTTTTCTTTTGGACAGGTTGATCCCGTCCAGAATTTGACTGGGATCCACAATCTAAATTGTAGACAAATTTAGATCATTTCCAATTCATTTTTCTCTTGAAGATGAAAAATTACATCATCCCCAGCAAAATTTCACAGGACTCTCTCTGTCTCAAGTTCCCCACTGTCTATAATGGATCAAAAAACAATCTCAGGACCCACCTCCCAAATCCCTTCAGCCTGCTATGCAGACCTTCCTACAACGGCCACAGGACAAGGACGGAGCAGGGGCCAAACGCCAGCACTGAGACGCTGCTTGCTTTCAGTTTATCCATGACAGAAGCTTTTGTTTTAACATTCGAAAATGCTCTAGTGTTCAGACTAAGTAATATGTGTTTTCACAAGAGTCCTTTACACAACAAAGAAATAAAAATAAATGTGTAGGACACACAGTGCAAGAAGCAGCCTGGGCTTACTCACTTGGACTCTGTAAATCACCTCCCCCTTTTTGGCATGTGAATTATTGGCAGGACTTAAGGTGTTGCCTGGTGGCGCATCGGAGGTACTGCTCTGGCCCCCGTCTGTCCCAAGAAAGCCCACGAGGGTGTGGTGTTTGCAGGCTGGGATGCTTTGGCTGGAGCTGCTGGAGGAAGGCAGGCCGTGCTGCAGGCAGGCCGTGCCACCCTGACCGGAGGGCTCCAGCTGGTTCACCATGGACAGGCGGGACTGGATGGAGGACGGCAGGTTTCGGAGCGATATCTGACTGGTGGAAGAGCGCCGACAGGGCACGAACCCCGTGGTGGACATCCGGAGGGAGGAGTGCCGGCTGCCGTAGCAGTAGGAAGACTGGCTGGCGACTGAGGCCCGAGCCGGGGACTGCCTGACCAGGCTCGACTGCACAGAGTGAGAGCTGTGGCTGGTGCCTGGGGAACGGGAAACACAGCGCCCATTCTAAGTGGGATGATTCAAACATGGGTGTTTTTTTAATAGATTCTAAGACTGTTTCTCAAACTACAGCATTAATATCCTTACGACCCATCCCGATGACAAGCTACACTGGCTACAGACGGTGACACCGCAGTGCAGTTTTCATACACATTCAGGGGTTACACATAAATATAAACTATCAGAGATACTAAACTGCGGGTTCTTCTGTGTCCTTCGTCAAAAGGCTTGGAGAGAAGTTAAATAAATTATATTAATTATTATTAGCTTTTAAAAAGGATACTTTGAAAGAAATATTTCAAGTAATATATATAATTATATGGATAAAAGAACTAATATAAATACATGATAATGACCAACTGTGAATCAAACAGAATATTCAATTTATATTACTCCCAAGCAGGTAACATGCCATCCTCTGCACACGGACCATCTGAACCCCACGACTAAGAGGTATCTGCACAGTTCTGTTTCACGTTACCGAGTGCTGGAGGGTAAGACGTGACGGGCGGGTGCAGTCCTGCTCCGGGCCCCTGGCCTGAGTTGCCTGTGCTTCCTGGGGACACGGTGCTGTGGGGATCGCTGGCAACTGTTGCATTGTTACTGGTGCAAGAAGTCCCACCCCCAGTATCAGAATCTTCAATATTGCCACCGCTGTTACATCCAGCTCCGCAACCTTTCCGCAACCTGGGAACCAACACCAGAGGTAGGAAGCATTATCCTAAGAGCACTTCAAAATAAGGTATTTTACTCATTTTTAGCTGTCCCAAATGCTTGGTGCTGTTAATGCTCACTGTGGGAAGTCTCTCTGGCGCCATGAACGTCAGGAACTCAAGGTCTGTTGTGCTTCCCTCCCCTCCCCTCACACTCACTGCCTTGACACTCCCATCGATTGCACTTTTACACCCTCCACCTGTCACCTCTCCTGCACCATGATCAAGAACTGCACAGGACACAGTCGTACCATTAAGGTCACAGCTGGGAACAGAATTCTTGCCAGTGTCTACTCAGCACCTCTGACATATGAAACACCGAAAACCCAATTTATTTAAGCGAAACCTAATTTAGGCTGTAGCCCATCTGAAGGGAGCTGCTGCAGTGACGCCTCCTCCTTTCATTTATTTATTGTGTTACACGGGAGGGGACCGGCCGTCCCCGTCTCCCACGACCGTCTTGGTTTGCGACTGAAAATCCAGTCCCTGGTTTGGCCCTCGGTCCTGGGCAAACGAGGCAATTCCATGGCAATGCCTGTTTTCTAAAAAACTTCTTTGAATATTACCCTGCTTTGTGTTCTTCCTCCTGTCTGGAGGGGCACTGATATTAAAAGGGTGAAGCCTTACTCTTGAATACTGAGTATTCCTAGAAGAATTTAAAAACACGTATTTGAGTTTACTGCCCTAATCTCAGATCCTGTTTTTCTTAAGCTCTGATTTAAGGATCTGAATAACTCTTCAGGAATTGAAAAGAATACTCTGCAATTTTTCTATCACCTATCACCAAATCAGCATGTTCCCACACCACACACCATAATCCACTAGACTAAATGTAGAGAAGAGATCAGTGTGCCTTCCTGAAGACACACTGTAGATCTGAACCTGAGTGATGACTGGGCTGTGGAAACGGCAGCAATGTCTCTGCGCTGCAGACCCCAGTTTCACCCTGAGTGGAGTGCTCCCCCTGCTGCTAGATTGGAGTAAAACAGAAGGAATCAATCTGCACAAGTTTCTCATGTTTTTCTCTAATTTGTCCTGTTTGCTGACCACACATTCTAATAGCAGCAATAGGCTGCAAATAAAATTAAACAAAGGGGGTTAGTCAAGGGGGTTTTTCACTGTACGAAATGCTAAAGGCAAGGGCTCTTAACCAGAGTTGTACACTAAGTTTATCTACTAAAAACCTGAAGATAAAAGTGCTCGGACTCTACTTGCTAAAGTTCAGAGACAATAGATTGATATTGTGCTGTGGAATGTGTATTTTTTCTAAAAACTTTCCAGGTGACACTAACATACAAGGCCTAGCTGAGGGTCAGGATGCGCCACGCTGAAACATGCAAACCCGCGGCTCACCTGTGCCAGGTTGACACTATGAAGTTTCTGATATTTCCCAAACTGATGGGTCCCCCAAGAATTTCTTTAAGCTGCTCGTGGCTGTCAGAGTAAGAAGTGGTCAGTGGCGAAACGAAGATCGGGTAGCCGATAGGCTGATCACAAGACGAGTTTACCATGTTTCTCAGAGCTTGCTTTGCGTTCTGGATGCTGCCTCTCTCAGGGTTACGGTTTCGCAGGAACACGAGCTCCTGCTGTTGCCCGGCCCAAAGCCCGCGGACGCACTCCTTATTCACCTGGAAACCAGATGCACAGGAATTGCGTTAAGGGGCTGGGAATGAAATGCACATAAACACAGAAAGGGGAGGGATACAAAAGATGTTATGACAATCAACTGTGAAAAGCAGGAAACAAGCAGAAATAGGTCACATGTGAACAGGTTAACCTATTTTCCACTGCCATTAGCAGGCTGTTAAAAATGAGCACCTACAGAGTATTTCTTCTGCTGTGTCTTGGAAAAATATCAAGTAAAATGCAGTCTATTTAGCTTTCCAAATTAGTGAAGCACTGAATTTTGTAACAGATATTCTTTACAGAAACTAGAGGTAACAAATATTTAGAGTTGAAATGTTTGTGACTTTGGGGCTTGATTAAATGAAGTTGAGAGAAAAATAACCACTATAAACTATCAAAATAAAATTTTAGGGATGAAGCCTATTAAAGCTCTAAGATGTTTACCTAAACAAACAAAAAAAAATCCAAGGAAATGTTAATGTGAATCACTTACTAATTGCTATTCAGTACAACCTACGATACAATTTTGCAACTTAGGAATTGCACCATATCAGCAATATAGAGCTGATGGTTAAGATTTGCCCAAATGGCACATAAAATAGATTTAAAAAAACTGCCAGAATAGAAATAAGCAAAAATGTGAAGGCTTTATGGCATATTAGAAAACTTCAGAGGACAGACTAAATTATTGATAAAATTAAGTGCTTATAAATAATAAATGCTAATGCAGTATGCTTATTTTTTTTTCTGTAAGAGTTTCAACTACTTTTTACAAGTTTGAATAAGATTATAAACTGTGATTTTCCCGGATGCCAATTAATGCCTCAGAAACTCACTTTAATGACCCTGAAGCTCAGGTAGCGCCTGTTGAGCATGATGATCTTGTACTCGTTGGTGCCGTCATCCATGACGTGCCGCAGGGCCAGCAAGGAGGGGGAGTTGGCCAGCACTGCGCTCCGCCATGCGGGGTCCCCTTCGTGAGCGATCACGAGGTTTTTTTCATGAGATACAATGGCTTCATAGAGCACAGTAGGGTCATCGTACTCATCTGGAGAAGTGAAATGATCCTGTACACAGAAGTAAAAAATTTATCTTTTTTAGAACATGAAGAGAATGACTTCCAGGATGATAAAAACTTCTGTAATTACTAAATCTGTTACTAAATGAAAATTTCAAACCAGCATGTTATTATTAGATGTAAACTACGTGAAAAACACTGTAAAAATGTGTTTAAGTCCTTGTATTACCATCTAAACCCAGGAAGTAGCTAAGACTCTTTGAGCTTTCATTTTGGTTATTTGTGAGTGCCAGTAACATCTGCTTAACCTACTTGGCAAGGTTGCTGCAAGAGTCAGATGGAACAGTGTCTTGGAGAACTCTTTACGTTACCATTAAACATTATTCACATACACAGCGAACACTTTTATTCTTCTCCTGTAGCCTAACCTCCAGACTTGGGTGTACATCCCTGCGGATGCTGCCTGCCTGCTCCCTCTCACCTCCCCTTCATAGAGAGAACACTCCTCATCAGTTGGATGGGTACAAATCCATTACTTTACCTGTATATGAAAATTTATCAACCTCTTAACCGTACATATGAAGGCAGCCAATGCAATATTTGTGTTTCCTTAATAACACACCATTTCAGAAATTCAGATTTGTGTTATGGTTAGTTGGGTACCTGTCCTGTATCTTCTGTTAATTTACAGGTTTCTGAGTGAGAGATACATTTTATATACTCCTGTGTTTCATCCATGCTGCCTGCCACAGAATCCTGCACATGGTAGACAGTTATTAAATACCCATTTATTAAATGAATGAGTAGTTATGAAGACCAAGTGGTTTTTTTTTTTTTTTTTTTTTCAGAAAAGATTCTACCAGCTTGTCTAGGACTAGGACCCTTACTCTGTCTGCAAAGCTCAAGCTCATGGCCTTGAGCCATATCCCAACTGGATGAGAGGCGGCAAAGAGGTCTATGAGCACCATTCTAGAGATGTGGCTTTATGAGAAAAGTGCCTGGTTAATAAGAAACACAATCTTAGAGACCATTTATATAGTTTTAGTCTTCCTTAACTGATAACAGAGAAATACCCATTAACAGAAAAAAAAGATTATATAAAGATATTAAAAACCAACTTGAGCGAGAAAAACAAAGAAAATGTACAAAATTGGAAATCATATTTGTTTAGGTAAAAGAGGACAGGATTGGACTGAGGAATTTACGAAAGTAGTATAGCAATAATGAGTTATATTTTAAGCTCTTTAGGAACAAAATCATTTTTGAAAGTCAAGTTTGAGGTGTAATTTAGATATAACAAATGACAGCCATTCTGAGTGTAGTTAAGTGCACTTTGACATCTATGCACACCCTGTAACCACTGCTACAGTCTAGGTACAGAACATCTGCTTCACCTCGAAAAGTGCACTTTGACATCTATGCACACCCTGTAACCACTGCTACAGTCTAGGCACAGAACATCTGCTTTGCCCCGAAAGTTCCTTGCTGCAACTACTGATATGCTCTGTCTCTATAGATTAATTTTGCCTGTTTTAAATTTTATCTAAATAAACTCATACAATGTACCTTTTATATGTCTGACTTCTCTTGCTCTGCATAATGTTTGAGATTCACTCATGTTGCAGTATCTAACAGTAGCTCATTTCTTTTCAGTGTTCAGTACTATTCCATCGTGTGGCTACCCCATCAATTGTGTGCCCATCCACTGACAGGCAACTGAGTTGTTTTCAGTTTGAGGCTACGTGAATAAAACTGCTGTGCACACTTGGGTTTAAGTCTGCATGGACACGCACTTTCGTTCTCTCAGGTAATGTCTAGGAGTGAGGGCACTGGGTCACATGACAAGTATGTGCTAATCTTTTCTTTTCATACATAAGCCTATTATTCACTTCTGTAGATAACCAGTTCTGATGTACACATTTATCTTTTCCTGGCTCAAGAGTCCCCTCACGGACACTCCAACTTCTGGCTCAAAGCGATGGCCAATAAATGGCTGTTGCTTACTACTTCGTAGGTCAATCTCTCCTTCCCGCAAAGGCCTGTGGGAATGACAAAGCTTGTCCAGGCTGCACGTGAATTCTCTCTGGCTCTCTCTCTCTGACCCTCCCCGTGGCTCCCAGACGCCAGTCCCATCTCCTTACCCACCCGCCTGTCACTGCTGTGTCTGTCACGGCTAACGGTGAGAGTGCTGCACCAGGTGGGCTGGGCCTGACTCAAGGTAGAGGAGCAGGGTCACGGGCAGCGATGCCGCAGGCAAGAGAACCTCCAGGGGGAGACCAGAGGTGAAGACCTAAGGCATCAGAGGCTCCGGACCTGGTGCCCCAGCTTCCTCTCAGCCAGACAGAGATGACGTATCTATCTTAATGTTAAGGATTAACTGAAGACGTGTGTCAGGAACTGTTAGATAATCACGCCATGTAAAATAGATGACTTCTTATACAGCAGATATTTCATCAGTACCCTTTGAGAGACCTAAAGTTTTAAAAACATTGCAGGGAGCATTTGAAATCTTGCTTCCCAGCATTGCTGTCAGTTTGGCTTGAATAAAATCTCCTAAAACTTCCTTATAGGCTTAGATGTTTCTTAAGACATAACAAGACAAAAGGAGAGACACCAGACAAAGAATAACAAAATGAGAAAACGAAACAAAAACACTGCCATCTGGAGTCTGTATCTCTTTCTTTTAAATCTACTGAACTTTGTCATGAAACTGGGAAGCTGCTCTGATATTAACATTTCTGTTTGATTCCAAATGTGTATTTTCCCCATCACCCTCCAAATGGTATTCCATTCTTTCAGATCTTCCAGTGACATATCCCTTATTAAAAATGCTCCCAAATAACATGGGACACTGACTTCATTCTAACACTTCAGATCACCTGCAGAGTGATTCACCTCTCATCTGGGGAAAAACAGATTCAACCGGATCAGAGCACAGCAGATGCATTTTACAAGTCTTATCACAGGGTCTCCACCATCAGACCCAGTAACTTCTGTTGGTGGAGTTATTAGAGCAGCAAGCACTAGTACAGCAAGTTCTCGAATAACGTCACTTTGCTGTAATGTCGACGAGAGAAAAACACAAAAAAGGCAACTCCTGGCCAGGGCCACGGTCTGCATAGCGTCTGCGTACTCTCCCCATGTCTGTGTATTTCGGGACATGACGGCTCCTCCCATGGCCCAAAGCTGTGCATGTGAGGTCAACTGGCATGTCCACATGGTCTCAGTCTGAGTGGGTGTGGGTGCTGTGATTTAAAGGCATCCCACCCCGGGTGGGTGCGCACCTGACCCCCTGATGTGCTGGGAGAGGCTCCGGGCACCCTGAGCTGGAATAATCAGGCTGGAAAATAACTACCTTACTTGTTTTTAGTTATCTGCTGTAAACACATGTATAGTTCAAATTTATTTCAATGTTTAACTTTAGAAGTATTTTGGATCTTTATTTAGGAGTTTGGCTGTTTCTGTGGCCAGAAAAAGGCTGTAGGAACTTAACAGGTGTCTGTATGAATTAGCCTATGGGAAAAATAGTTTTGTCATATGTTGTTTTGTTTAAAGTTGCAGTTTCCAGAACCTACTGACATTAAGTGAAGTCTTATTTTACTTAATTTCCAAATATATTCTTAAAATGATATAGCCCTGGCTGGCGTAGCTCAGTAGATTGAGCGTGGGCTGCAAATCAAAGCGTCACTGGTTAGATTCCCAGTCAGAGCACATGCCTGGGTTGGGGGCCACATGAGAGGCAACCACACATTGATGTTTCTCTCCCTTTCCTCCTCCCTTCCCTTCTCTCTAAAAATAAAGACATAAAACCTATGGGGAAAGAATGATACACGGCACCCTGACTGAGGAAGCTCGGTTGGTTGGGCATCATCCCACAAAGCAAAAAGGTCATCAGTTTGATTCCTGGTTGAGGGCCTAGTTCCTGGTTGGGATGCATGTGAGAGGCAACTGATTGATATTTCTCCCACACACTGATGTTTTTCTCTCTTTCTCCCTCCCTTTCCCCTCTCTAAAATTGAGTAAGTAAAATCTTTAAGAGATTCAAAGCAATATGCATTCTGGGGCCTCATTTTAATTTTTTAACCCTACTGGGATTAAACTAAGATTAATTCTGTCCCAACCATCTACTTCTCAGTAAAATGTGCTGAACGAAATTCACAGCTCAGTAACAGCGGCACTTTCAGGCCTCCTGAGATGCTGCTACGCTGTACCGAGCAGCATCTAACACTTGCTCACGGAAGAGGCGTGACCTATAATCACACACAGTCAAAGCAAGCGTTGCAGGGCCTGTGTAAATTTCTCCTCACGGCTCATGCCCAGATCATACCCTGATATTAATATCCAAATTCACTGTTAGAGACACAGGTTTGGGATTCTAAGACGCTGCATCTTGCCATGAATCATGTTTCCTTTGTTAGAATATTTCTCGAAAGTTTCCTAAGAAATGTAATCTGGAAGTCAAGTGACGAAGTGCCATTAAGTAACAGCGATGAATTGGAAACTTCCTCTCCTTACCTGATGAAGTTTAATGGACATCCGGACCCCAGGGACTACCACTTTTCTTAGTAACTCCATGTCGGCAAAGATCCACTCATCTCGAATTGAAGAAATACGAAAGTCGCCCTTGAACAGGGCATGCAATCCATAGAGGAAGGACTCCAAGTTACTGTTAAGATTGGAGACAGAAGTTTACATATTTTGACAAGGGCCTTTCATTACACCGACTCTTACACCTGGCAGTGCATCACAATCACCGGGCAGGATTTTAAGAACACAGACCCAAGAACTAACGTCAGCACCTAAAATCAGGATTACAAGGGATGGGGCCTCCCGACCTGGGACCCACAGCTACGAAACGCTGTAACACTGAGTCCATGAAAATGAACAACAGGCAGAGTACACAGGTTTACAAAACTGAGAGACCACTGGAAAAGACGTAGTAATCAGAAAAAAATTTAAATATATGCTACTTTTAATTCTAATTCTTTTGGATGAGTATGTTCAGAAATCCAGTTTATATTTAGAGTTCCAAAATCAAATGCACAACTACATTAAAAGTATAAATTCTCTGGGCAAAAAGGAAATACGGAAAAATTTCAAAAGGTGAGTTGTTAGAAAAACAGATGTGGATTGAGAGGAGACCAATCAAATGTTTTGGGCTGATTATTCTTCAAAATGCCTCAAATCTGTAAACTTCTTACTATCAGTAGTTGCCCACATATGTCCATTTTAAAAGCCAGTTTTGTTAACCACTCAACAGAACTCAACTATGTTCAGCAAAAAGATCTATATGATACCACATCTGAAGAGATTTTTGCAATAAATTAGCATAAAATGCTCCCATGAGAAACGGTTCCAGATGCTTCAGAGCCGGGCCGTGCAGCTCCCCACCGAGCCTCCCGGAGACGGGAGTGCCTTTACCTGGACATGTGGTGGGACGCAGTCCCCAGGGCTCTCCGTCCCAGAACACACAGCCCGTAACACAGAGTCACCAGGGAAGAATCTTTGTCCACATCCAGCGGCTTCAAAAAACAAACAACAGCAAAAAAAAAACAAACAAAGAATAGGGTGAAGGAGGTCAAAGGGTACAAATTCCAGTTATAAACCAAGTCAGTCATGGGGATTTAATGTAGTAACTATAGTTAGTAATATCACATTGCACATTTGAAAGTTGTTGAGAGTAGATTGTATTGTAAAAGTTCTCATCGTGCCCCGGCTGGTGTGGCTCAGTGGACTGAGTGCCGGCCTGCGACCTGAAAGGTTGCTCAGTTCCCAGTCAGGGCACACACCTGGGCTGCAGGCCAGGTCTCCAGTGGGGGGCACGTGAGAGGCAACCACACACTGATGTGTCTCTCCCGCTCTTCCTCCCTCCCTTCCCCTCTATAAAAATAAATAAATAAATAACATCTTGTTAAAAAACAGTGCTAATCACAAGGAAAAAAACTTTGTAACTATGTATGATGACAGAAGTTAACTAGATTTATCCTGGTGACCGTTTTTCAATATATACAACTATCAATCATTATGATGTACACCTGAAACTAATGTTGAACATCAATTACACCTAAAAAAAGGAAAACGAAGAACGTTAATTATCAGAAAGCCATATAAGTACTTATCAAGTCAGAATATATCTATTTAGCAAATCAAGAGGTTAAGGAACTCAACTAGTTTCTACCTCCTCAAATAAAAGTTCCAGTGAAAAGAAACAATAAAACACTAAATGAAGTATCAATGTATCTGAGGAGGTTCTTTGGAATCTTTAGATAAAATCTAATATTTCATAATGCTTGGATATACTAAAATAAAACCGTAGGTGTAAGTACTTTGAGATGTTTAGCACTTTGAGATGTATCCTAATACTCCACAGAGGAAATTCCACTGCCATACATTGTTACAAAATTTTTCTTCCTCATGACGAGAACGTGAAAGATCTACGCTAACAACTCAGAACAGCACTGTCTCAGTAATGGGGAAGAATCAGCTCCAAACTGAAGACTGGTCCCTCCTAAGAAGGCTTAAAAGCAGCTCTGAAATGATCAAACTGTCCCCAAGGAACTCAGCTGTGTCACAGAGCAAAAGTCAGGAATATTTATAAGAATGCAAAAATATCCAGCACCTATCAAAGTAAAATTCATAAAGTCTAGCATTCAATCAAAAATTGCCAGGCATATAAAGTAGCAGGAAAAATATAACCCATAAAAGAATAATCAATTAATTGCCCACTTAATCAAAACTGACCCAGAATTGACACGAATGTCAGAATTAGTCAAAAAGAACACTAAAAAAGACATTTCTCTGTTCAAAAGACAGAGAAATGACATCGTGCTAAGTAGAGACATAAAAGATTTATGATAAAGACAAGTTAAACTTCAAGAAATACAAAAAAATACAATGTCTGAGATTAAAAAACACTGGATGGGAGTAATGACATACTAAACAATATAGAAGAAAAAAGTTAATGATCTAAAACTATAGCAACAGAGACTGCACAACTGCACACAGAGACAGAAGAGACTGAAAAAAGCACTGGTGAGCTGTGCGACATCATCGGGCGGCCTAATGGAAACGCGACCGGAGTCCACAAAAGAGGGGAGAAGAGAGAAAAAAGCAGCAGAAAAAAAGAATCGCTGAAAAATGTCCAAATCTGATGAAAACTGTATACCTAAGACTACAGCAGGTGCTATGTCTAAAGGCGGTCAGTGTGCACATCCCAGACCAAGAGAACGGTGGTTGTCAAGGAGGCCCAGGATGCTCTGTGACCCAGAGTCGTCCTGTACCTACGGTGCTGGTGCTTCAACCACACCAGACTTTTGCTTGGAAAGCAGCAGCAGTGGTAGGAATTAGCTTTGGGAACCACAGGCCTTGGGGTGGTGTGTTACATGGAGCCTAAGTAGGGGAGTAATAACATAGCCATGGGAGCCACGAGACCTAGAAAGAAAGCAGTAGTTGATAAGGTCTGTAACTCACTCTAGTTACAGGATAAAACAAGTTATCCCGAAGTGTGGATCAGAAACCAGCTGAATTACAATCACCAAGGCGATGCAGATTCTGGATCCCCAGCCTAGATCCCCAGAATTAGAATCTCAAGTGAGGCCCAAGAATCTGCATTTGTACACATTCCTAGCTCATTTTACCCATGTTCACACCTGAAAGTCAGAAGTCTAGATGAACGCTGTCCAGTATGGTAGCCTCTAGCCCACTAGTCCTAAAGCTAAGTCAATTAAAATTAAATAAAATTTAAAATTGAGTTCCTTAGTCATACTGGCCAATTTCAGGCGTTTAATAATAGCTACATGTGCTGGGTTAGTAACTACCATTCTGGATCAGCAGAGAACCCTTCCATCACTGCAGAAAATTCTATTGGACTGTGCTGGTTTATACTTCGAATTGGAGACGAAAATATGAAACTGTCCTTAAATGTGGCTTGTGGCGGTGTGGGTATGGGCGTAACTGCCATGTGTGTGCGTGCACAGGGGGAGGGCAGGCTGGTTGGAGGGCGAGAGCAAGAACTGCAGGTGAAAGCACCAGGCAGACCACGGCCTGTAACTTGACCGGACTGAGGTGGCTGGTCTGGCCCAGCCATGAGGAACCAGGAAGGTCAGAAACAAAAAGGCTGGGAAAAAGGGACCTCATAATAACAAACAGAGATGCCCTTTCCATCTCTAGAAAAACAGATTCAAAGAGTTATAAATGAAATGAACTACCTTTGCTCTTCGGGAAGAGCAGTACTCTATCCAGTTGAGGTAAATCACACAGAAACTCTCTCTGGATATGCCTGCTAGTCGGTGGTCATAGTCTTCGTCGATGTTTGGGTTAAATGTCGGGTCCACATCCACGTAATTTCGATCTGCACACAAGCGCAGTCCCTCCTGCATTGTCTCATTAGCCAGCCACTCCTCCAGCTTTGAAGAGGTTGTGACATAGTAGATGATGCCCTGACAGGAAAAGAGTTTTGAAAAAATCCAAGCTACATCACCACTGGAATTAACTTCAATCCCCAGTAAGTACATTCCAAGTATTTATTATGAGAGTACAACTCAAAAATATATTATTCTGGCTCAATATTATACATACACAGTATTTTTTGGACTATAAGATGCACCCCCCCTAACGTGGGAGGAATAATGGTTTTTAATGCTGCTGTTGTTGAATTCTATTTACACTTACACTGGTGAAATATTGTTATTTATGTTATTACATATTTTACCACTTTTTTCGCTTGAAAAAATTTTTCCCTATTTTCCTCCTCTAAAACCTAGGTGTGTCTTATGGTCTGAAAAATAGGGTACATTTTAAAAATGCTATAATAATATACTCAGGACTTCCTAGATGGAAAAACATTTAGTATTTTTAAAACCACAACCATAAATTGAGGAAGACAACTTAAAAAATAATTCTAGTCTAAAAAATAATAACTCTAGTCTATTGGTTTTAGAACTTTTGAATTTAGGATCTTTTTTAAATTTATTTTTATTTTTATTTTTATTTTTTTATTTTTATTTTTTAAATTTTATTTAGTTATTTTTCAAGCACAGTTTTTTGTCTATTTTTCCCATCCCAGCCTCCCCCGCCCCTTGCTCCCTGAATTTAGGATCTTTTAAGAGAGGTGGAAAGCATTTATTGTGGTGCATTTATTTTGAGAAATTTCTCATAAAGCTATTAAATCATACTGTGGCCATAGCTCAAGTTATAGAAATGTATCTCACATATTTCTGTAAAGCAACAGAAATATACATATTCAAGCCCTGGCTGGTGTAGCTCAGTGGACTGAGCACGGACCTGTGAACCAAAGGGTTGCCAGTTTGATTCCCAGTCAGAGCACATGCCTGGGTTGCAGGCCAGGTCCTCAGTAGGGGACACATGAGAGGCAACCACACATTGATGTTTCTCTCCCATTCTTCCTCCTTCCCTTCCCCTCTCTCTAAAAATAAATAAATAATTAATTTTAAAAAAGAAATATACATATTCAGAAACAAAAAATGCCATGTGCACACACGTATGAAATATGTTGCAAAATCAATCTCTTTATCTTCCTGAGGTTGTGTTTAATCAAACATTAAATAGAAGATTCAAGGTTCACCCCAGTCAGTACAAATAAGGCGGTATACGTAGATAACAACATAAGATACAGAAATTTCACATATGGGCTATTAAAATCTAGCACACATTTTCATCTTGAAACATACCAGCTTTGCCTGGAAGGCCCTAAATCATAGCCATGCTGTATTTTTATAAAATCTTTACCAAAAGTAAAATACCAGTGCGGTACAGAACTAACTTTGCCCAAACAGAGGTTTGGGCTTTGCTCTGGGTTCCGGGGAGGTGGCCTCCAATAGGGTTTTGGTTCACCGGGAGGCTTGGAGCTGTGACCGCCAGAGGAGCTGGAGACCGGGCCGGACAAGCGGCGGTCAGCCGAGCCTACGTGATTCTGCTCCAACAAGACTCCTCCACCCTGGGGCTCAGGCGAGGCTCCCTGAGCACACGCACACGCACACGTGCGCTCTTACCTTGACGTAGTAAGTGGTGAGCACTTTCCGAAGATCAAAGACTTGAAGCATGGAGGCGGCACTGTTGTCGGTGATGCTGTAGCCCTCCAGAACGTACTTGGTGACCACGACTTCCCAGGCGAGCCAGCGCTGGCCAAACGCAGCATTGAAGGAGAGCACGTGAGGAACGTGGCCAGGCTCACAACAGCAAAACCCTTCATCTTCTTCAACACCTTCAGTTATAGCCTCCACTTCCCTCTGCTGGCAGTAAGTACCTGAAAAAGGGGGACAAAACCATAGACTGGGAAAATGAATGCATTAAAGATCAAGGTATTTAGAGAAAAGACCTTCTGTAACAAATGAAAGTATGTGACTGATTTGTCTTAGAACGTCCATTAACAAACTGCAGCAAGCCCCTGAAAGCAGGGATACTGTGTATTCATCTCCTGCAGAATGACAATATGCATTAGCACATTCGAGGTTCTGTAATTTGTAAGGGAACCTCCTTAATTTTTATTCACAGATTCCCAAACCTTTCAAAGTTGCATTTACATTCCTACTGGATGAAGACCAACTAAGTAACGGTACCACTCATGAGGGTCTGAGTGAATTCTGAAAAGGAGGAGCGGAACGAGAACTGAATCATCCCGGGGCGCCGATACAGCAGACACGCAGGGCTGGGAAGAAGCTGAGCTCTGTCAGCACCATGTCTGAGCCGCAAGCCAACATACCGTATACATCCTGCTTATTCGGCTGTGTAACTTATCACAGTTCATTATAACTTAATATTAAGTACATAATTGAAACTGTTTTTGTTGTCAATTCCAACAATAACTGCCCTTTGAAGTTTGCTGATAGTTTCCATTACATATGTATGAAGTCTGATTACTCTGCATGATTCTTTGAAGTTATATTCTTTAATATGATATCAGATTGTAAATGCCCCTGATTTGTCCATTTTAAAATTGATAATTTCATGTAATGTGAATTTCACTCCAATTTTTTAAAAAGGCTGTTGAGGACAAAGGCCTGGTGTCCATATGAAAGTAAATCAAGTAGCTACTCTCTGCCTCACACAAAAACACATCCCACTCTGCCAGCCATCTAACAGAGACACGCACTGGTCACAGACAGACACGGGCAAGAGAGCAAGCACAGAACAACAGAAATCCAACATCACCAGGAAAACAAGTCAATTGTACACTCACATTACTACCTTTCCATATATAGCACACCGTGAAAACGGTTCTTCTTCGAATGTGTAGTATTGAGGAAAAATCGAATGATTACTCTCTAATAACTTTTCTTATTCTACAATTCCAAAGACTAAGGATCAAATTTTATGACAGCTTTTGACTTGTGATGTAAACACATAAAACTTAGATATCACAGGAGCCCATTATGGAAATAGAAGGTCCACATCTCACCTCTGAATTCGAGTCCCCGCAGCTGGAAAGTGACCAGCCCATTGCCGATCTCTATAAGGTGCACTAACGCATTGAGGTAGTCAGAGGCGAGAATGAAACAGTCCCCTGTACTGTAGTTTCCCCACCGTCCTAGGAGCAGATCACCACAGAGACTGTGTTGTAGGGATCTGGTTAAATGTTCATAGAAGATGGAATTCAGATTGTTGTCGTCTGATCCTACAAGAAGGAATTTTTAAAAAAATGTTAAATTTCACCCTAAGCCCCCTTTATATCAACATACAGGATTGTTAAAAATATTAAAACTAGCCCTGGCTGGTGTAGCTCAGTGGACTGAGCGCAGGCCTGTGAACCAAAGGATCGCAGTTTGATTCTCAGTCAGGGTACATGCCTGGGTTGCAGGCCAGTTCCCAGCAGGGGACACACGAGAGGCAACCTTACATTGACATTTCTCTCCCTCTTTCCTTCTCTTCCCTTCCCTTCTAAAGATAAATACATAAAATCTTTAAAAAATTTTTTTTTAAATATTAAAACTAATTTCTAGTTAGGATTGTATCTATATTTTTGTCGAGGAAAATAACTGTCATACTCTTACAAATTCTATATAAAAATGACATATAGAGTAACAGGGAAAGCTTCAGAATTTAGAGTTGGAAGTCACATAACCTCTCTGAATGGTTCCCATCCACAAAACGCAGCAGGTGGAGGAGATAAATCTAAGGTCTCCCCACCTTTTAAGAGTCTGTGACTGTCTCTACCACTGTTGAGTGAACTGTGCCTTATTAAAGCCATTCAAGGGAAATGAGACAGATGAAAAAATCAGAACTAGGACAAAAAGAACACCAGTAAAGAAAGTGAATAAAGTAATACAAGATTTTAACAAATAAGATAGTTCAAAACAAAAAAAAAATCGTCCATGAAAATAACTTGTATACTGGGATGGTTAAAACTAATAAACTGTACATACAGAAACAGTGGCAAAGAACCTACAAAATGTATTAGAGTCACCCTTTTAAAAAAACAGGATAAAACTCACTCAATAAAGGAAATGACCATCTTTAGCCCTGCTGTGGCTCAGTGGGTTGTGCTCTGGCCGGCAAACCGAACAGGTCACAGGTTCGATTCCCAGTCAGGACACATGCCTGGGTTGTGGGCCAGGTCCCCCAGTGGGGGCATGCAAGACACAACCTATTGCTGTATGTCTCGTACATCAGTGTTTCTCTCCCTCTCTGTTTCCCTCCCTTCTCCTCTCTCTAAAAATACACAAATAAAATCTTAGGGGGGAGAAAAGGAAATGGCATCTTCAGAAGTAACCCATGCAAAGCAATAACCTGTAAATGAGCCCTGGAGAATGGCGAAATATACAAAGCTTAATAATTACTTTAAACTCAGCCTAACTAAATAATGAAATAATGAAAGGGCACTCCAACTCTCACTTCAGTAGGATGGTCCTGTACCATGTGCTGTCTGCCTGCCACCAAGTGTCACTGGGACATGGTCCCTGATGAGCAGGCGGGCATCATCAGCGTTGTGAGACTTACGAGTCCCTTACCGGGACACACTAGAGCTGAGGTGGGTTTATCTACCAGAATGTGATAACGACAGTCATTAATATCGATTAATTAGTTCTCCTTAATTCAATTTTATAATGACGATTTAATCTGATCACTATAATTTAGCCTCTTAAGTAGACTGCATTTGAAGGAATCTGTGAGTCAAATGAATACCAATATTCCTGCCTATTTGGAGAGTAATATTTCTTTTGGTAAATTAATACCTTGGATTTCTGGTTGATATGTTCACCTCTATGGTTGAAGAAATGAGATTTGCACTCTCTGTATCAAATTACTAATGGGTGGGCCAACAAAAGGATGCTTCCCAAATGACCAAACTATGAATCAGCTGTAAGATCATGGTAACACCACTGAAGCCCCATGTTGAGTGGCTATTTGGCCCCCCATGTGACATCTCTATATCCAATATTTATCTAAACATTCAGGGAAGGGAAAAACATATTAATAAAACATATATTGATTAGATTGCACAGTATTCAAGACCCCTAACCAATTTTCCTTTTCACTGTATTCTACTTTTTAACCTATGTAATAACAATCTTAGAATGGCATTTTTTATCCTTATCAGTGTCCTTAAAATGTACTTTATAAGAAAAGGGTATATAAGTTATAGATAATCTAATTTGTGTATATTTTGCTAAAGTAAAACAAAATAAAGCAAAGGATATTTGGTTTCTAAAACATGACCATTTGGAACCAATACAAGATCACCAACACAAGAGTGAAATACATATATACATAACAAATTCATTACACATGCTTCATAATTCAAAAATTAAGCTATTACCTGGATTTCTATCAAGCTGGGAAGCCAATCTGGTATTTGAATGATCCACTCGTTTTGTGCTGAAGATGACAAAATAAACATTTTTAGTACACTTTTTATATTTAAAAATGCCTACTATTTGACAAGTGAAATGAGCACTGTCACCTGGTGACTACCCCCGACAGAAACCCGCGGTCGGCACGCTGACACACTCTGCAGCAGCACGGCACCGGGGCGAGGCTTTTCTTTCTTACTCTACCACACCCACCGAACATGCACAGGGCCGTTATTTCCTAACGGGTGTGACAATGAACAGTGTACAGAGACATTAATGAGTTTAATGCAAAAAAAGTTGAGGATAAAAAAATCCATTCCATAAACAGATCTTAAAAATGCAAAGTGCATGAAACACTCTTTGCAAGGGGAAGGTACATCTACTAACGTCCAGTGATACAGTGGTTCCCAAAATGTGGTCCACAAAACCCAGAGGAGGGGACTCAAGACCCTTCCAGGGAGTTTTCCGTATCAAAACCACCTTCCCAATAGCACTGGGCTGCTGCCTGCTTTCTTTCACTGTGCAGACAATCGCGCTGACAGTACGAAGGCAGCAGTGGGACGACGCTGCTCTTCAACAGGAGTCAGGGCAGGGCACCCAACCATACTGGTTGTCACTGCCACATGGCACAAGACAAAACAGTGTGTAAAAGGCAAGTCTCACTTTAAAATGCTCTCCATGAAGCACTGAAAAATACTAACTTTACTACATTACAAGCCCTCAGGACAGGTCTGTTTTACACTGAGCATGGCTGAACACTCATGAAGCAGGTCTGCGGCATCCTGGAGGAGGACGGTGTCTCGAGGGACAGCATTTGTGCAATGGCTTGACGTGCAAGCTGCACAACAGGCCACTTTTCTTCACGGAAGACCATTTTCACTCGAATGACTGATGGATGGGTAAACCATGATTACACAGACAAGTATATGACAAACATTTCTAAAAAGTGAAGAAAGTGAGTCTGCCATTTCAAGGAAAACAAGTGACAGTAGTGTCTTCTGCCAATAATAAAAATTATAATTTTCCAGCGAAAATTAGAATTTTGGAAAACTTATTTATATCTACCACTGTGAGCTTGCCAGCTTCCCAACGCTCACACAGTTTTCTTCTGGGACTGGTCCAGGTGATACAAATGAACACATTTAAAAAATATTATCGAATGGAATGTGTCAAAATTTGGAAGGTCTACATTACTCAGTGAACCAACATTTTCTAAATGATTGATAAATGGTGTTATAAGCTTATACGTAGGTAAAAATGATCCATCCAAAGTCTAAGACACATCAGTGGATTCGGATGTAACACAGTTCCAGAAATTTATGGATATGGTTTTAGATTCCACATTGTAACTAATCTTTAGGAAACAAACCCTCTGTTGACTTCTAGTAAATGATCAAAGAATATCCACAATTGTCTGAAAAAGCTATTAAAATACTTCTCTCTTTTTCAGTAACTATGTCTGTGAGCCCAGATTTCCTTCACATACTTCAACTAGAACAACACACCACAACGATGAACTGAATGCAGATGCAGGTATGAGGATTCAGCTGTCTCTTATTAAGCCAGACAGAAAAGCAATTCAAAGAGCAATGACATTTCTCACCGATTTTTTTTTTTGGTGGGATGGAAAATACAGTTCTGTGTATTTAAAAATGTCATTTTTGTTTACATGTCATGGGTTTATTGTTGCCATTCTGAAATTAATAAACATTTACATTTTTAAAGTTTTCTAATATGGTTAACATTGATAGATGAAACCCATATCAACAAAAACTCTTTGGAGACTTCCAATAACTTTTAAGAATCTAAAAAGGTTCTAAGACCAAATAGGTTAAGAGGTACTGCCACAGATGTGATTTTGGGCTACATTTAAGTTGGCCCAGAAGAACAGAAAATAAATAACATTAAAATTCAACGAAAGGGAAAAACACCATGTGTGGTTTTTGATAAAAGACCAGCGCAAAATGTCAAATTCACAAGCTAGTTCATTGTTTGAAAGGTGAGAATACTATTTCCTATTGTATTTCATATTATATAATTTTTCATAATATTTCATATTACATATGTGTTAATATGTGAAAGTGTAGGCAAGTGCAGACATGGAGCTGGTCGCAATTATAAATTAGTACAAGCCTATTCTGAATCAAGGCTAATGCATATTAAAAGCCTTTAAAATGTTTAAGTTCCACAACTCAGTAAGTTTCCTTTTAGATATTCTTTCTTAAATTAAATAAAGACATTTGGAGAGATTACATACAAGGATAATTATTAGGCATCAGATCAAACAGCCTGAAGAAACAAGCCTAACTGGGTAAAACTTCACGTACAAAATGGTCACTGAAAAGTTATCTTCATGCCCTGGCTGGTGTGGCTCAGTGGACTGGGTGCCGGCCTGCAAACGGAGGTGGTGCAGACTGGAAGCCCAGTCAGGGCACATGCCCTGGGTTCCAGGCCAGGTCCCCAGTAAAGGGCATGTGAGAGGCAACCACACACTGATGTTTCTCTCCCTCTCTTCTTCCTTCCCTTCCCCTCTCTTTAAAAATGAGTAAATAAAATCTTTTTTTTTAAATCTTATAACTAGAAAAAAGGTAGAGAAATCAAGAGTAATCATTCTCCAACTCTTCTAATTTTATATAGTTTTGAAACTTTACAAGTATTTATAAAATTTTAGCAAAATATTTTAACACAAAAAATTAACAACCCTCAATTACTGACATTAATGCTGTTGACAGTTTTTCCCAGTAAAAAGATAAAGCTGGCTTTCGCACGTTTTATTTTACTCACTTGTAGTCTCTCTCCCAGAACTTCACGGGCCGCACGTAGGACGTGATGAATATTGCACTGCCCAGGAAGGGGTTCAGTGGGGCGGAAAAGAAGGCCGACACAGCGGCCTGAACAAACAACATGGCCGAATCTACGGGGACACTGGTTAAGGACCTTAACATCCATGCAAACACCACAAACACAACCCACACACAAACACGTCTCATACACAAGTTGTAATTACAGCAATTAAAACAATAACATTCATGAGAGGAAAGAAAAAAGTGCCCTTAAACGGTGCCACTGGACTGTTTAAGAATACAGTAGGAAAACACAGCTAGAAAGTACAGCCTGGCATGGTGCTCTGAAGGGAGCTAAATAAATATTTGCTAACATGTATTTGATAAAAGCCCACAGATCACTTCTGGGTAGAGAGGCTTGGACTTCATTTTCCAGAAGATAAAACTAATGTTTACTTTCATTTAAAAAATACTTTTAAGAAATGATGACAACAGAAGATTTTGGACACAAAGTTCAATTACAATCATATTCATTAAAAATGAGTATTAAAACTGTTTTGTATGTTCATTCATTTAAAAATATTTCTATACATTTTGCACTTATTAAAAATTCCTGATATACTGGGGATGATCTGAGAGTAAGTCTAATCACTGGGGTGCACACCTGAAACTATTACAATATTGTATGTCAACTGTAATTGAAAAATAAAAAATGATTTATAAAAAAGAAAATTTCTGGACTTTAATACTTATATATATAAATATAAAATTTAAATCAGCGTTACTTAATTATAAAACCTTAATAGTTTTCTCATGTTCAGATGATCTGCGGGCCACAGATGTTATTACAACTTGAACAATCAAAATCAGTATAAGTATGAAATGAAGTATTGTGAATTTTTGATAATTTATCATAGAGTAACCTATGTTCTATGCCTGTGAAAGGTTGTGCGTACAAACCAAGGTTCGCATCAAGGATATGACTGTCCTTTCTCATGAAACTTTTATCAGAAGGATACGGGGCACTGCAAAGGGCTGAGCGAAAGCGTGGAAGGCAGAACCCCACGTGATTTGCCATGGGGCAATGTAAGTGTACACAAACTGCAATTTATAAAGGAGTTCCCAAAGCTGTGGGAGAAAAACAAAAACAATCAGTAAAGAACTTATCAGACATTTGAAAAGAAAATGAAACACCTCTACACTGTTTTCCCTACCTAATAGGGAAACAGTTTTGACATTATTTGCTATTTGTATAAGAGGAAAAGATACATCAACTGCCAAACCACTGTGTATTAAGTAAAGACAGCTGACCGACTCATGCATCATGTTTGTCTGTTTAAAGAATTTAATGCCCTCTATTGGTTCTATCTTATGCCCTTTTGTTACTACAACAAGCAAACAAAGGTAAATGTCCACAAAGCTGAAGTAACACATATATATTTCAATTCTAAGACACTTCCCTCCAATTTCAATGCTCTGGAAACTGAGTACACTTTAAATGCAATGTCAAAAGAGTTTGAAAGTAGCCAGGCGGGGGATAAAGTTGTCACTGCCTGTTTGCCTAAGAATTTAGTAGTGTATGCTGGGCATCTATATATGACCTCAATTGTCATTGTCAATGGAAACGCAATACACTTCTAAATACTATTTAAATTAGGATCTGTTTTGTTGTTGAACATGTCTTTAACACTGAAACGAAATTACTAAAATGCCAAAGAGTGTCTCTGCATGCCCAGTAGTGCAAGGCCCAATTCTCCTACTAGGTCACAGCATCGTAAAAGCCAGAGGTTCTCATTCAGTGCCATGATTCATGCACCAAACACCTCATACTTAAATCAGTTAGCTAATTTACAATGAACCTCTCTAACTTCCAATTTAAAAAAGAACCATTAACTTCAACCAATTAGAAAATGCAGACGAACCCTGCATTCTTTGTCATGATCCAAATTACGCTGGCAACCCTTGGTACTGATGTGATCAGGGTGACAAGAAGTGAAAGTGGGACATATGTTATCAAGACTCCATTAGAACTGCTTAAAAGCAGTGGTCCAGAAAACTCGCCAGATTCTAAATGTAAAATGTACTCAAATTTTGACTGTAATATTAAAGAAAAAATAATATGCAATAACATGGGTAAGTAGTGTGGGTAAAAAAAAATTTTGTATGCATTCAGAGTAATTTTTCTTGAAAAGTTATTAAATCAGTAGTGCATCTTACAATGGTATCTTACAAAATCTGTCTCAGGAGATCCCTTCACTATTACTTACTTATTACACCACTATTAAGCTCTATCAAGTAACTGTATAAACCACAAACTACTATAGGACAGAGCTTTCTCTGATTTGTTCACTGATGTAGCCTAAGCATCTAGGATAGTCTGGAACATGATACACTCTCAAAACCAATTCACTTAACAAATGAAAGCATTAAGGAAATCCAAACTAATACAAGTTAAGTATAGTGACTCCATTTCAAGGATTGTTTAGTGTATATTTTACTGCAACTTTCTCTTTCTTCCCCAACCAGTGTAATAAGATGCAATACAATTTCCGATCTAAGTATTTAAAATTGTGAGACACCACATGCTTCTTTATACAAACAAGTCTCTGATTAACCCTCTGGCTTCCTCCTTTGGTTAACCATGCTCACTAGAAGAGGAAATAAATGATAAGAATGCATACAAATTAGTATTAAATATAATTGCAAAGTTTTGAAGTTATTTATAATATTTAGCATAATATTTTGAAATTGATTGTCACCAAAACCTAGTTCAGATGAATGATTTTCAGTTTGTACTGTTCCCATCCAGTCAGACCTCTATCACATCTAAATTACTGTCACAATCTGTTAAGCTGTTCTCCGTACCTTCAGGTTCTCTCTTCCCCAATTCATCCCAAATGTGGGTGACCAGGCTAACTTTCCTAAAATTGGACTTTTCACTGTGTTTTGTTGCTCATATGCTTCAGCTCTGTTACCTATCAAATGGGATAATATATGTCAAAGTCCTTTGTATGTGGTCAGTGTTAACATGAAATCTAAGCTCCACTGAATTTACCAATAATCTGACTGCACAATGGACATTATTTAGAAAGGCAGTGTGGTTCAGCAAAAAGGTTTTTGGAACAGTAGGCAGCAGACCCAGATTTTACCATCTAGTTTATAAAAGGACTGAGAGCACCTCTCGTTACGGATGGACATCAAATCTTAGAAGGATTCTAAACTTCAGAGCATTCTGCAAATGTCCCCATCAAACTAGTTTCTGGTGGTTCCCACACGGCCTCCTGCCCAGGTTTCTACCGTCTTCAATCAGCTGTCAGGTTACTCCTCTCTGTCTATCCTGCAGTCCATACAGCCCAGTTCAACTGTTACTCTTTCTATTTCTGAAATTATCCAAAACCCACACCCCCTTTTGGAAGACCCCACATACTTAAAAATATATACCTAGTGTTTCTCTAATGTTTCCACATAACTTAATCTTATCTTCCTAGCTATTGTAAGAACTATATGTTATGGATCACAGTTACTAGCACTATTTAAGGATTCTAACAGACTCCTAAATAACTGGATAAATGAAGAAAAAAAGCACTTAAAAGATAATGATGTGAATGAAATGCAAGGATAGCCCTTACTAGCGTATTACCTAGGGAGATGCTTTTTACAGAGAGGGCTACTCCTTTCAGTGATGAATTACCTTGTTGAAGAGTATGGACATGAAGAAGAGATCCAACAGCATGGTTTCTGAAAATGCTTCATAGTCAATTTTAAAAAAGAGCACAGTGAAGACGACTGTGACATACTGATATGTAGGACTGCTGAAAGAGGATCGCAGCAACTTCAGACCAGCAATGGTGATCATTAAAGCGCCTAATCTATGAAAAAAAGAAAGCACAACTCATCAACCAATGACAGAAAACTTGAGAAAATCTACTACCCTCAGAAAAATCACCATTTCATTTAAATTTAATTTCTGGTGGTTCCCACATGGTCTCCTGCCCCGGGTATCTACCATCTTCAATCAGCTGTACACACACACACACACACACACACACACACACGAGTCTGTCTGGAAAAACTCCAGCCATTGTTAATATAACAAGAATGGTTTACGTGACATCAGTGTAACCCGGCAGACCAGGAGAGTGGACTGGAGTGTGCATGTGTGAACAATGACGACTTCACAGTACTAGTCAGTGGGTGTGGCAGGTACCATCGAGTGAGCATGTGTACTGTGTGGATGCTGCATTCAAAATGACTGAGCAAGTAGAGCAGTGAATCTGCATCAGATTTTGCATTAAGCTTGAACGTTCCCCCACGGCAACTATTCAAATGATTCAGAAGGCTACAGCTATGGGCAACTGGTGATTGGCAGCTTCATCACCACAATATGCCTGCTCATGCATCATGCCTCATGCAGAGATTTTTGGCAAAACATCAAATCACCCAGGTGACTCAGCCCCGCTACAGCCCAGATTTGGCACTGTGTGACTTCTGGCTTTTCCCAAAACTAAAATCACCTTTGAAAGGAAGAGATTTCAGACCGTCGATGAGATTCAGAAAAACACGACAGGGGAGTTAATGGCAACTGGGAGAAATGTGTGAGGTCCCAAGGTGCTTACTATAAAGGGGATTGGGGTGTCATTGTCCTGTGTACAATGTTTCTTGTATCTTGTGTCTTCTTCAATAAACGCCTCTGTTTTTCACAGTGTGTGGCTGGATACTTCCCAGACAGACCCTTTGTGGGGGTGGGTGTGCACGGGCACGTGTGTACATACACATACATATTTTCTCATACACACATCGCACAAACATTTAGACTTCTAGAAATTATTTATATAGCTAAGTGAACCACATCTGATAATAAACTATCATAATATTTCCTCTTAATAATATATATTATGATTCTTATTCTTTATATAAATCAGTTTAAAAATAAGTTATCGGTATTACAATTCTGACATTTAGTTCTCCAGTTTCTCAGTACTTCTGCTGCTTTAACATTAATAACATTTAGCACATAGAAAACATATTAACCCCCAACAACACGTACTTAGTCTGGTGGGTAGGACTATATGATAACTCCACAAGGTGGGGCAAAGTAGATTGTTCATGGAAAATACTACAACAATCACTACAAAATAACAGAAGAATAAACTGTTTCTTCTCATCCTAACAAACCACCCTTGTGCCACCCTGTATATGGACCGATTTACACAATACATAAAAACAACCACTTCCCAAACTTACCATCTACTATTAAAGACTAACCTTATTTAATAAATGTCCTCTCCTAAGATATCAACTGACAGTGAGATGTCTGGAGCAGTGAAATGCCAGGAGCGGAAACACATGTTCAGAAAAGGGAAGGCGAAGACAAAACTTCACCTGGACTTTTCACCTCCCAGTGCCTTGCACCAAGAAGACACTTAATTACTATCTGTTACTTAACTAGTAACTTTAAGACATTGCTTATGACTGTCCCCAGGAGTCCAGCTGAAATCAAAGGACTATTATACTTACTCTGTATCCAGCTTTTTTGGACTAGCAATTGTCTCTGCACTGCTACTAAGCTCATTGAGCACAATCAATGGGTAGATGACATTCTTCTCCATAAAAAGAAGCCACACATGAAGTTTCTCGAACCACATCACAGTGGCTGCATCTAACAAGGGAATATAAGTTAACAGGACCACATCATCTTATGGAGAAAGTAGTCTGACAATGTCATGACAAAGGAAATTCAGCTCTACTATAAATAACGTTAAGAAATCCAGTACTTTAATCAACTGTCAACTTCTATGACTTGAGACACATCCAACTTTGCAACTTAAATGTGGCTTAAATTTAGATGAAATTTACTTTAATTCTTAAACCACAGTTTCTAAGCATAACTTTTTCACACTTATGCCAATAACTTTTGGAAAAAAAGTTTACTGTATTAGACAGCCCCTTTGTATCTAAAATCCTATGACACAGACCCACACACCTTATAAGACACATCTCAGAAGAGATATGTTTTTGACTCACACACTTCATAAGAGTCATTTCCACTACCGATAATCTTTTTCTAATACTTTAATACTGTTTCATTGGGAAGCACCTAGGACAAACTGGAGGATCTGAAGCAAGGCCGTCTGGCTGCATGAAAGCAGTGCTGCAGGCTTTGGGAGGTTTTTCCTAATGAGCTACTCCCCTTTCGGCCGCTAACACCTAGCACTTCCAACAAGTCATGCTGATTCGAAATTTGTAAACATTTAAACTAAATGTTTTGTTAAGATCAAAAGTAAAGAAACAATATGATCAATGATTTACTCTAATGAAAATTGCTATTTAAAACAAACTAGATACACTTGTTTTCATTTACATATGACAGCAGTACTGATAGTTTATCATCAAAAAACATCATTCGGAGGTATTTTCTTGATGGTAGGAATGGACCAGTGCAGATTCTTATACAGTTTGATGCTATTTTCCCTTATTTTAAAAGCACGTATGTTATGAAAGGTCTGCACAGTGCTGCAACCTACACACTGGTGTTTATTCAGTTCTCTCTCCAGGATCAACCTGGTGACCAGGATTACCATACCACGATGCTATAAGCAACTCTGCTAAAGGCCTAGGGAATTGGCTCTGGGAATGCAAAGTCAAGATCGGTACAGAAAGCTTTCTAAAACGTCTGAGTTCTCTAAAGAAGATACTGTATCTTCAAACAATAGAGGGATTTCCTCTCTATAGTCATTTACTAACTGAAGAAAAGTTTGAGGAAAAAATTGCCTTATTTAGTCACTAGTGTATACTAAATTATGACATAGGTATCAACTTTTATTATTTCTCTAAAATGAGGAGTATTACAGGTCATGGGGGCCAATCGAACTGAATACTTTACAGGACAGAAAAGTCAGGGCATAGATGGGCAAGCATGAAGCTTGCCAAGTAAACTGGACTTACACCTCTTTTTGAGTCATCTTATATACTTTATCGCAAATCTGAACAAATAACAGCAATTACAAATGTTTTAACTTCTTTTCACCCCTTCAACTCGTTTAAACCCGTCTGTGGTAGGACCCAGTATCTCTGGTGGAAATAGGAACAGAGACCTTCCTATTCCCCCTAAGCTCTGAGTTAAAACATTTCAAATAGAAGCTTTAGAGAGGACTGTTGCCTGCACATGGCAAGGAAACTGAATCGAAGAGGAGGGACTGGAAAGAGAAGTCACGGACACACACAGACGTATGATGCATCAATGAGGTCTGTGAAGAACAATCTAGAGAAGGAAGAAGGGAGTTTCATCCTGTGGAAAGCTGCACTGTGGTACTGACAGTTATGCTTCACCTAAAACTAAAGCATCCTGCAAAGTTTCACTCATTACAGCTTCACACCTAAGCATACGATACGCAGCCAAAGTGTGTGCTACTTGATGATACTTATTTAACTGTCACTGACAGCAGAACAGCAAAAACTCACAGTATTCAACAGAAGGGCACTAATGAAATACTTACTTCGAACTTCATACTGACTATACTCCGCCGTCTTCAGCAGAGGGTGGGAGAAACAGTGCCACGGCAGCTGCTTCCTGACTTGCGGCAGCACATAGTGGGTGACAAAGCCGACCAAGCCGACCAGTGCATACAACACATACTTGAGAGCAGGCTGAAAGAAGAACACGGTTGAGAAGATTAAAAGTGATTTTCATTTCAACAGGAGAACTTCCGATTTGTCAGTTCAACTCTCCATTTGATACTGGAGAAAGCAAAGTCCATTTTAGAATCTAAGAATTAAACATTTGTCTACAGTTTCTATACTATGTAGTTCTTTTGACTAAGTCGGCTATCAAAGTTAGTGATTGTTCATGTATTACAAATATTGTAAAAGTTATTTACTACTTTCTTTGGAGTCCCAAACTACGTATAATGAGAAAGAGGCCTGGAGTGTATTGCTTGATACTCTAAGAATGTTCTATGCGACTTGCAAAGCAATGTATTTAATTGTCTTAACTAGTGCAGATAAAGCACACCCCTTAAATAAAACTGTAAATCTGACTGAAGAGCAGACAAGTAGGAAAAAAAAGAATTCTAATGTATATATAAATTCGCAAATGAAAAAAGTACCATTGCTTCAAATATTCAAATTAAAAGTTGCATATTTAGGAACTCTGGAACCTCTTGGACATGCAGAGGCCTCCATCTGCACCCTGAAAACCACTAGACCTGACTCAGTTTTCAAGTGCTCAAGGATTAATAATTCAAGTTGAAAGAGTACAAAGACAGGCGAAAATGTTAGAGAAAATTAACCTTTTTTGCTTCTGGTCAAATGGAACATTAGGGATTCACTCTCCCACATGAAACAACCAAAACAGAATAAAAATACGTGAACCCAATGGTCTGCAATACACTAGGCATAAGGGAATAAACAGTGAACCCCCGAGAGAAAGGAAACTGGCGAGGTTGGTGTTAAGAGGTCAGCGTCGGCACTGCCCCCGTTTACTGCCTTGAGGGCGTTTCCAGGTTGCAGTGCAGGGAGGCGAACCCACACAAAGCTTTGCACCGCAGCTGACAGGATGACACTGAGAACACGGAGAGACTCAGACAGCTAGTGTTCACCAAAAGAGACAGCACACAAAAGAAAAATCTGAAGATCTGCAGAAGGGCCCCATGGCGTATTCAGGGGAATTAGTACACGTGTGTAAGGAAAACCCATGAGACCAGAGAAAGAATCACAAGAAAGGGTGAGAGACAACAGTATCCAGCACACACAGGGCTGGGTAGGAATAGCCTGTCCCTGGAGCCAGGTTGCTGGCTAGAGTATTCAAAAGGGTGTCGCCTCAGTGGGGGGAAGATTAGCCCTACACTAAAAACAACCCTGGTTTCGCTTAAATCCTAAAAGCAGGGGCTGAAAGCATCAAACTGTTAACAAGTAACTAGCAGTACTGGAAAACAAAATTCAGGACTATTTCTAGAAATGTAAAACTATCCAATACCCAACAAGGTACAACTTATAAAGCTCAGCATCCAATCAGAAATTACCAAACATGCAATCAGAAAAGTATGGCCCATGGAGTGGGGAAAAACTCAATCAAAACCAACCCGCAAGTGACAGAAGTTAGAATTAGAAGTGAGTAAGAATGGAATGTTCAAAAAGTTAAGTAGAGGCATGAGAAGATTTAAAAAAAATACAAACTTAAGATGAAAATTATAAATTATGAGATGAAAAATACACGGGATGGGATTAATGGCAGATTATACAATACAGAAAGATTAATGAAGTTGACAACATATAGTAATGGAAAATACTCAAAATTAAATACACACATAAAAAGAATGAAAGTGAACAGAGCATCAGTGAACTATGTGACAGCTTCGAAAGGCCTAAGATGTAGGTAAGTGAGGTGGAAGAGGTGGGGTCCAGACAGGGCTGGGAGCAGAGCAGAAAGAGAAGGCTGGAAAAAAATTTAAGGCCATAACTTTTCAAATTTGATGACAACCAGACCAGAGAGTCGACGAAACTCAAGCACAGAAGAGAGAATAAACCACAGGAAGCTGCACAATCAAACAGACAGCAGGGGACACAGGGACCCGCACGGGGGAGCAGAGAACAAGGGGTACTGGGGTACCGAGGACGGGAGCTGGGCGGCCTGCAGGGGAGCGGCACTGCACCGGGGCAGCGGAACCTGAGCGGCCCGCCCCGAGTTGAGACAATGAGGTCCTAGACTTCCAGGTGTGCTGGAACAGACTTCGGGGAGTTCATATATTTCAGCAGGATGAATAAACGTTACAATCAAATCAGAAATGAGCCCAACAAGTCATTGTCTCCCCAACAAAAGACCCAAATGTGTCCTCACCTGCAGCACTGTGAACACTGTGCTCACGTGAACAGCAAAGTACAGCACACCGATCACAATGCACACTACTAGATCAGACTGCAAACGTTCACTCTGAAACAAAGCAGAGGCAGCGAACAATCACATAAAAATTTTAAAAACATTTCCTTCATTCCCAACTGGCAAATTGTGTAAGAAACAATTTTTCACTGATCCTATTTTTTTAGCACTTCTAGATATTTCTTAACTCTAAAACTTATATTCTTTCCTAACCCCCTTATTATTTTGCTTTGACACTCCAATACCAAGGAAATGAAACTTACTCATCTAGTTCCACACACTGTGTAACGTATCATTACAATGTCTTTTATAATGAAACTGTGTATTTTTTCCCCTAATGGTCTGCAAGTTTTATGGGAAAAGGAAATGAGGTACTTAAGTTACTGTATCATTCATAGGGCATATCCTTTTGGATAACAAAGTTATGTTTTCATTAATCTATTAAAATGATGAACCTGCATGCATATACCCTATTTTACTTGCTGGACTTTTGTTTTTTTTTTTTATACTAAAAACCAGAAGCCTCTAGATAACCTCTCATTATTGACTGACTCATAGATTTACACTTTGAAACAGAATTCAGAAGTAATGTACATTACATGTAACACTAAATATCCTTTGCTTACATGAAAACTAAAGTCATAAAAAATATACCCTGAGGCAGTTTTGTATTTTTAAAGTGTTCTTAAGAATGTGTGAACAGCCCTGAATGGTACGGCTCAGCTGGTTGGGCATCGTGCTGCAAAGCGAAAGGTGGCAGTTCAACCCCCAGTCGGGGCACGTGCCGGGGTTTCAGGCTCATTCCCTGGTTGGGGCACCTATGAGAGGCAACTGATCCATGTTCCTCTCTCTTTCTCCCTCCCTTCTCCTTTCTCTAAAAATAAATAGATAAAATCTTTAAAAAATGTGAGCAGCTCCTGTTCACTGACAGTAAGTACTGTGTCTAATTCAAGACCTATATAATAAGGTCAGTCTTTCACAAATGAAAAAACTCTGCCCTGGATGGTGTGGTTCAGTGGATTGTGCACAGGCCTGAGAACAGAAGGGTTGCTGGTTTGATTTTCAGTCAAGGCACATGCTTGGGTTGCAGGCCAGGTCCCCAGTAGGGGGCGTGGGAGAGGCAACCACACATTGATGTTTCCCTTTCTCCCTTCCTTTCCCTCTCTTAAAAAAAAAGGAAAAAAAATCTAAAATAGTAACTTAGAAAAAGAATTTTATGTTTTGTTCCATAAAACAGATATAAATTTACAGAATTCATTTTCAAGTAATCACTAAAAGAATGCAGGCAACATTAAAATTCACAAAATCAGAAAAAAATTTAAATTACTATATTTACTTGAGTATATTAAATTAGTCCAGGTTATTATTCTCTCCTTCAACCAGGAAAATAAACACACATAAGACGTACTTTTTAGACTATCCTTGAGAAATAAAACACACTAATAAACTAGCAGGTCACTTACAAGGACACAGTTTTTAGCAATAAGATCAATAACGACAAACTCTAATTTATGTTGATAGTCTTCTTTCAAATCCTAGTTTAAGTGAAATGGGATTAAGACTTGTATAAAACAATGAACTTAATTTTACCTGGTCTAAAAATAAATGTTTATTAGCACACTGTTCTTTGTAGAAACCAATTTGAGGAATGAGCATTTCTTACATGTTAAAATTTTAAACAAAGGCAATCAAGAATGTATAACTAATATGTAACTAGATGTAGTTATAGTCTATAGCTATACATTTTCTCCCAATTATTAAGGCCTTCAGAACGTGTTAACTATATAACATGATGAACTGTCTCAAATTTAAATCTTCTAAGTGATTTTAAAAAGATTAAACTTACAACAGAATTTCTAAGTTTTTCAGGCAGTGGATCTTTTACTTCAGACAGAGGGTCTTCTGGATTTTTCTCTTCTGTTTTTGGAAAAATCTTAGATTGCATCAAAGAGCTTTATATTTTTAAAAAAGAGAGAAAATAATTAATATAAAAATATACATATAACCTGAAAACCAGTACTTCCAGTGGCAAATACAGGTCATGATAAAAAACAAGTGATCCAAGTATACTTAGTCACTAGCAAATGGTGTAGTCTAAAAATGTTTGAGATGCCATAAATAATCAGAAATGCCAACTTATTTAAATTTCTTTAATTCAGAAACAACTGATTTAACTTACAAAAGTACAGATGGATCACTGCTTTGTCGGCTGAGATGATAGGATACTGCCACTAACAAGCCACAAAAGACGGAGAAAAGTACTGGAATGTGCTGGCCATCCCATGAATCCTGTTGAGGGAAAAATGTGATAAATAATACGTTTCTAATTTATGGTCTGTCATACAACCCTGTAGCTCTATACTCTGGAGAAAAGTAACTAAACTCAAAAAAAACTTTTAAACCATTTTATTAATTTCATTTTATTATTAATTTCATTTTATTCCAGAAAAGTTTAGATTTACAACTTTCTGAGGAGCTGGAATGTAGCCGCTAGACAATGTCCACATTTGTTGCGGTACGAAAGCTCTATTTGTACGCTACGAATGACTCGCTTGCTCCTGATGCATGCTGCTGTCAACCCCTTTCAGACTTACAGTAATACTAAGCTTACAGTAAACTATTTTCTCCATTTTGAGAAGAAAATAACTTGGTGTAGTAAACTTTTGATTATAATAATAGAGAAGGAAAAAACAACACATGATATCACATCGGGCAAAAGAAAATGTTAGCATTTGCTGCTTTCTTGATGCCTTTGCTCACGTAATATTCTATTTTATCTTCCAGAGCACTGAGCAAGCATGCGGTGTCTACTAAAGGAGTGAACTGCATGACTAACCACACAAAGGCTCAGGTCTGAGGCCAACCAAACACGTGTGAGCAGTGCGTCTGCGCTGCTCACTGCAGTCACTGGGTTCCACCAGCACGGTGGCTGGCACAGACCAGGTAATACCAATTCACATCTTTTCTCTTTCTCTAGGGGTTTGGGAAGGCAAAATGGTACCAGCGAGAAACCAAATAATAATTTATTATACAACTTGCTTCCCCCCATTATATAATAGCCTTTTTATTAATGGCTAAATCAAAGTCTTATCATCATACCAAACCGAACATTGTGTATTAAGCCCCATTCTTAGATCTTCGTATTTCCTAAATAATTATTACAACGATCCTTGGAGACACGTACTCTTACTCCCCAATCTACAGATGAGGAAAGCAAGGCACAGAAGGTTTAAATCATGTGTCCAGTTAAGTGGTGGAGCCAGGAACTGAACTTCCTGGAGTTTGAATTTACTGAGAAGAAGTTAAACAATCTGTGAAGAGTTTGAGAAGGAAAGGTAAGTACTTAAGAAAACAAAATGCATGCAGGACTAGCACTTGCACAGTGGTGATAGGGTGAACCTATCAGGATATGGAGGGGACAAGACTGCTGAGGGGGAGACCTGGGACCTGGAGTGGGTGGAGGATGAAAACAAGTTAAGCCCACAACTTCCATAAAGCACAGCCAAAGGATAATGCCTAAAACTTAAGAAATACAAGAAGTAGAAATATAAGTTAGTTTCTAAGAGATATGAAAATAAATACAAAAAAATAGCTCAAAGAACTGAAAGTCGTGACTGTGAGGAAGAGATAAAGGGGCGGTAACTGCTGTTCCTGGTGCAAGTCTTGAAATATTTGACTCTGAAATACATGCACTCACAACTTCGGGGACAGCAGATACACTGTAGCACACCATGCAATGGGAGTAAGGACTATTTAAAACTAAATGGGATTCTTCTCTGCACTAAAAAGGAACAGACTACGGATACACACAATGTAGATGAATCTTAAAACTACTGTATCCAACAAAATAAGTTAGACACAAGAGTAAATATGGCACAATTCCCTTTAGTGACAATCAAGAACTGCAAACCAAATTACAGTAAACAGTGGTTAGGGCAGGGAACTTTCTGGTGATGATGGGAGTATTTTATGTCTTGATAGGGGTGTGTACTACACAGGCGTATGCACTTGTCCACCTTACCGAATTGTGTACTTAAGATACATACTTTTCACTATACACAAATTTTGCCTAAATTAAAACAAGTATTTGGAGAAAAACAAAAGATGACTGCTATTATTCAACAAATACTTGACACTACGTTTTTACTGATCTCAGATAAAAGCAAAGTACTGTTAATTGACCTCAAAATAACTTATTAAGAATTTAGAATCATCACACATTCAAAGGAATCCATGACTATATAAAAAGATAGTTAAGTACTACCTTACTGAGTAACTTACTAGAAAAACAAACCAAGCCACCTCCGCATTTCTATCAAATTCAGACAGAAGCAGGAGATCGAAGATAGATTCAGAAGCAGGAGAAACAACAAATTGTGAGAACAAAACTGCTCAGGGAAGGTGACCTCCTTCGAAAGATGAAAAGATGGTTTGTTCTGCCCACCAGAGTGGTCTGAAAGATTCTGCTTCATTATGTAATGACCCAAATTCTAGTAATCTTTTTTTAAAATATATTTTATTAATTATGCCATTACAGTTGTTCTATTTCCCTTCATTCCTCTCCACCCTGAACATCCCCTTCCCCACCATTCCCCCTTTAGTTTATGATCATGTGTCTCAAGTTCTTTAGATTCTGTATTTCCCATACTATTCTTGCCCTCCCCCCTATCTATTTTCTACCTACCATCTATGCTACTTATTTTCTGTACCTTCTCCCCCTTCTCCTTCTCCCACTCCCCTGTTGCTAACCCTCCATGAGATCTTCATTTCTATGGTTCTGCTCCTGATCTAGCTGTCCTCTTAGTTTGCTTTTGTTTTAGGTGTGGTTGTTAATACCTGTGAGTTGGCTGTCCTTTCACTGTTCATATTTTTTTTATCTTCTTTTTCTTAGGTAAGTCCCTTTAACATTTCATATAATAAGGGCTTGGTGATGATGAACTTCTTGAATTTGACCTTATCCGAGAAGCACTTTATCTGCCCTTCCATTCTAAATGAAAACTTTGTGCTGGATAGAGTAATCTTGGTTGTAGGTCTTTGGCTTTCATGACTTGGAATACTTCTTTCCAGCCCCTTCTTGCCTGTAAGGTCTCTTTTGAGAAATCCGCTGACAGTCTGATGGGAACTCCTTTGTAGGTGACTGTCCCCTTATCTCTTGCTGCTTCTAGGATTCTCTCCTTCATTTTCATCTTGGCTAATGTAATTATGATGTGCCTTGGTGTGTTCCTTCTTGGGTCCAACTTCTTTGGGACTCTCTGAGCTTCCTGGATTTCCTGGAAATCTATTTCCTTTGCCAGATTGGGGAAGTTCTCCTTTAGTATTTGTTCAAATAAGTTTTCCACTTGTGGCTGTTCCTCTTCCCCATCTGGTACCCCTATAATTTGGATGCTGGAATGTTTAAAGATGTCCTGAAGGTTCCTAAGCCTCTCCTCCTTTTTTTGAATTCTTGTTTCTTCATTCTTTTCTGTTTGGCCATTTTTTTCCTCCTTCTGGTCCACTCCTTTGATCTGAGTCCCGGTTTCCTTTCTATTACTATTGGTTTCCTGTGTATTTCCATTCATTTCAATTAGTTTAACTTTCATCTGTTCCTCTAATTTGTGACTAAAATCAACCGGTTCTGTGAGCATCCTGATCAGCACTGTTTTGAACTGTGCATCTGAAAGTTTGGCTATTTCTTCATTGCTTAGATTTATTGGCTCTGGGGCTCTGAGTTGTTCTTGAGCCATGTTTTGCTCTGTTCGAGCCTGTTGCATATGAGGAGTGGAGCCTTAGATGTTCACCAGAGCGGGGCCACCCAGGTAGTTGGTTTGTGATGCTGTATGTGGGGGCGGGGTCAGAGAGGGACAATGGCGGTTCCCTCTGCTGCTTCCTGCTGCTGGGGCCTGTGTGGTCTGTCTCACTGCTCACTCCTTCACTGGTTTATCTGCATGTGAATGTGTGACCGTGATCAGCCCTCAGTGAGTCCACCGCCTTGCGCCCTCAGTGGGTCCGCCCGCTACTCCACACTTGGGATCCGCCCACGGCCACTGGCGCACCTGGGTCACTTGCCCGGGTTGGTCCCGTGGATCTTTCCTGCCTGACCCCATTCTGCTGCTGGCTCTGCCCCTCTTACTGGTTTGGCTGAAGGGTTCGTTGTTGTCAGACTTCCGTGTAGTTCAATTTTCTGTGGTTTGGCTGCGTTGTTGTTGCTAAAACTTTGTTATTTTTAAACTTGGTTGTGTGAAAAGGCGCAGCGCTTCCACCTACGCCTCCATCTTGGCGGAAGTCCCCCTAGTAATCTCTTAAAGGTATGAAAACATATGCAAAGTTGTCTTAAAGAAAAAGTTTAGGTTTTAAAGAACAAATGTTCATGGAAAAGCAAAAGAGTAAACACAAGGAAAGCAGATACCATGAAATAATGGATGTAAATGTCTACATTAGTGAGTAGATCAGAAGAAAAATCATTCCTAATGGTATGCGATTATGCTACCCAATGATTTTAACTGTCCAAAGTTAACACTGTCTTGAACCTCTTATGTAATTGTCCATCTTCATGCTATGTAGACACAAGGCACTGTGTGGTTTAAACAAGAAAAACAAGCGCAAAGGAAAAATCCTTTTTTGGCATACTGCCTCTCTTATAAAAAAAAGAAAGAAAATGTGGAGTGAGTGTGTATAATGCAATATATATATAGCATGTGTGTGTGTGTGTATATATATACATGGAATATTATTCAGCCTTAAAAAATAAGGAAACCCTGTCATTTGCAACAACATGGATGAAACTGGAGGGCATTATGCTAAGTGAAATAAGCCAGAGAGAGAAAGATAAATAGTATTGGATGGTATCACTTATAAGTGGAATTGTAAAAAAAAAAAAAAAAAAACTCATAGGAGAATAGAAAAGAGGTTGCCAGGAGCTAGGAGGCGGGGAAAACAGGGAGAGGCTGGTGAAAGTATACAAACTTTCAGTCATAAGATGAGTAAGGTGTGAGGATCTAATAGATGGTGTGGTGCCTATAGTTGATAACACTGTTTTACATAACAGAAATTTACTAAGATAGAACTTAAATGTTCTCACCAAAAAAAAAAAAAGGTAAATATATGAGGTGATGGATGTGTTAACTCAGTGGGGGAGATCCTTCCACAATGTATACATATATTCATATATTGAATCATCATATTGTATAGTGCACTTATACACACAAATCTGTTTTATTTTTGGTGGCTGTATAGTATTCCAGTGTGTGGCTATATAAAATTAACCATTCACAAATGACAAATATTAGCTATTCCCAGCTTTTTGCTATTATAAACACTGCTATAATGAAATCCTTGCACATAATCTTTGCTCACATACATAACTAAACCTGCAGATTTCTTATAATAGGTGACATCTAAAACTAAAATAGTCTACTGCAAATGCCATGACTAAGAAAGCAGGAATAAAACTTATCCTCTCACCTACCTTAAGACATGGTGTTCTTAGTTGGCAATTTTACAATTGCTGCTCTTCTGCTACATAATTAAACAGGCCTTTGTAAACTGAGCATTAAAAAATTAACCACACTGTTCACTTCTATGACTGCAACTTCCAAATAATGACTCACTGAACAAAACGTGACTCAAAACACTGATCTAAACCCTTTACATGAGGAGGTTTTACAGGTGGTGCAGGTGGGAGAAGCGTGGATTGGGACGGCATTGTCTCCAGTTCCTTCTTGGCCTTAGCTCCATCAAATACTTCCCTCTTCACTGGGCTGTTCCCCTTCCCCTTTAAATGCAATCAAGTTGCAGATTGTTTTAAAAATCAAAAACCAGAAATCGACGCCTGGCCTGTGTGTAAGTTTTCCAATTACAGTGTAGAAAGAATAGAATATTTCCTTACTATCCATTCAAACCTCAATTTAATCTTCTTCAGCCAAAACACCAAAGCTGCTGCTTTTGTTACAATCACCAGTATCCTATTTACTGGTCAGTTCAATAAAAACCTTTTTCAGACTCTACTGCCTCTGAAGTCTCCTTTCTGTTCCCTCTGACACTTAAATACTGGCATTTCCCAGGGTTCTATCCTCACCTATTTTCTCTTAGTAATCCACATTAGCAGTCTCTTTCTTACTCTTGATTTAATTTTGTTGATGAATTTCAAATCTATTAATTTGAAACCTCGAACCTTTCTACATATAACTTTCTACTATGTATCTCTGGATACCCCTTAAATGTCAACAAATAAACATGCCCAAATTTAAACCACCACCTTCCTCACTAAATGCCAAGGTTTCCAATTCTGTGCATTGGTATTATTATCTAGTCACCTATATGAGCCAGACCATACCCAAAAGTCGTTTGGAGCTTATTCTGGTTCTTCTCTCTTTACCCAGAGTCCCAAAATAAATTCACTGAATTCAATTTTAAATAAGTCCCTCGTAACTTTAAGGTTGCAAAACCAGAGTCCCTTGCTTCTGATCCTGCTTACATTTACATCAGATCACTGGAGACCAAGTGATCTTTCCACAATGCAGTGTCAATCATTTCCTTGCCATACTTCCCATATTTCGATGGTCTTGCATCCCCACCCCAACACGTTCAGTGTAGAAAGGACTGCGTAAGCCAGCCACGGCTCACCTTTCCAAATTGACTGAAGCCCAGCTTTCCCCACGCACTCAGACCTCCAGCAATTCCAAATGCCTTGCCATTTCCTATACACACACACTTTCTTTACAACCCCATGACTCTTCCTCCCGTGTTTCAATGAACTGATTCCTACTTGTCCTTCAAATTTTCATTAAAAAGCCACCCTTAAAAATTACCTTTAATTCCTTAGGCTGAATAAGGTAATAATTAGTATACCCATAAGACTCTGTTTTCATAGCCTTCATCACCCTCTCTTGAAAGTGTCTGAGTCACTTTTCATAGTTCTTTCAATCCTATTATTCTCTGATTGCCTTATACTAATCATAAAGAAAAATTAGTAATAGGGATTAAGGGTTGTTTATGAGAAATTTAAAGCTTTCGTATTTATAATTTGGTCATGGTCTTTTAAAAATAGACCTAATAAGGCTCATCCAGATCCTTCTAAATCAATACTATCATTAAATTTCAGCACATTAATTTTACTAGAATATATCTTAAATTGCAATCTTTGAACTTGTTTTCATAAGTTTTACGAAGTCTTGATATGAACAGTAGTTACATACATTCTTAACCAGAAATCTAAAACTAATTCTGTATTGGTAATACCACGCCCACCTCTATTCCAGACTAGCCTAGGTTTTGATAATCTGTTTCTAATATTAACCTGGTAACTGCATGGAGAAGGATTTCATTTTTATAATGGTTAACTATGAAATTGCTTGCAAATTCAAAGTAAATAAGAAAAATGTTCAACAAATGAAGATCATGGAAATTCGTGCTGAAGTGGCAGGAGAAAAAAATCATTTTTACTGAATTTAAAACATGCTTTATACCAAAAAACAGCCCTAAAGACAAAACACACCACCACACACTGCCTACCTTCAAAGCGCCATAACACAACCCATACAGCAAGGCCACTGCCACTACGCTGCAGACAAAACTGTAGAGAGCTGCCAGCAGGCTCGTGGTGGCTAGACAGGAGAGAGAAAAAAACAGTGCTTTATGAACATTTACGGGGAGAAAGTACCTTAAAAGGGCACTGAAAAGTATTTAAAATTGTATAATGACTATAATTAAATCTTTTCGTTTGATGTTTTAAAAATTCAATTACTTTATCCTGTGCTTTCAAAGAATTCTGAAATAATAAAGACTTACTATTCACAACTCTCGATACAAGATAAAATATATTCACTTTGAAAGTAATGAACACTTATACACAGCAAAAAAATTCATGGCTATATTATGCTTCAAAAATGTTATGCTTTACAAGAGTATGGGGAAATGAAGCTTGCCAAGGCCAGAAAAGGACCGGAGACATATTAAGCATTCACTGATAGATATTAGTCTATGTACACAGAACCCGAGTTACCCACAGAAGTGAACTGTACACCCACGTGTTTGTCAATTCTCACAAAAAAGAATAGATCTGACTAATTACTAATAATAACAACAACAACAACAAAATAGATCCAGTGGGATTATTAGTATTAAGGGATAGTGAATGGCTAAGATAGCTAGTCTTTATCTTTAAAATATGGATTACAGATTTTCTTCAATGGTAATGTTATTTACCATTAACAAAAAAAGATATCTACAGGAAAAAATTTTCCTTAGGAGATATTAAAAAAAAGCACAAGTCTTGTTTTTAAAAAGAGACTTGCACAAGTCTGTCAGCCACATGACAAACCCACTGCTACACATTGCCTACACTAAATCCTCTCTGTAGTATGAGTTAACACAGCACCTATAATGGTCCCTAAATCCTGAAACTGTCTTCTACGCATTAAGGTATGCTGAAGACCAGCCCAGTCTTAAATTCGCACCCCTTTCGAAAAATTTTCAAAATGTCAAAAATACTCTACAAACACAGCAACATAGAAAAGGCACAGTTTCTATTTAAAATTTAAGACACATAAGCAGAGATCTCTCATTGCACATATTTGGAAGCTAAATGAGGACTGCAAATGTGAAGTATAAAGATAAATAAACAATAAGGTTACAGTAATTTCTTTCCCTTTTATATTATTTCTCTAGTTGTATATATATCTTTCAGTAAATTTTTAAATGGTTAAACCAAGTAAGAGTATATTTTTAACCATGGTGGTTGCCCATAGGATGGATTATTTTTCAAATTATGTGAACCATCTCTATTCATTCCAGTGTAACACTGGTCTTACTTATTTTGAAAATGAAGTACACATATAATAGGAAAATAATTTCTCAGTGTATCAATTCATAACCAAACTCTAAAAACAGAGATACTTCTAAAACACATATTTAGGAAAATGCTTTTACTAAAAGCTTTCTGGTTTTGATGTTCCCCTTTAAAAGGCACAAGAAAGCACCAAAACCAAATACACAGGCATACTAAATGTCTACACCAATTCAAAATCCAACGATAATGCCATGTATCAGAGCTCAATTTGGAATAGATGACCTTTTCTAAATATTCCGTAAGTCCATACAGGTTCCATGTAAACTCACTATAACTTCAAGTTTCAGACAACTGTATCTTACCATTTCTTATGAGTCAACTCCATTATCCCTATACGTTTCACTAAAGCAGCAGACTTGACTGCTTTTTCATATCTACAAATTAATTCCTGATCAGTCTTCAATTATTAAATGTTTCTAATTTCAATTCTAAAATAAAAATTAAAAAATTTAAATCTAAAAATTAAAATTTTAATCCAGTTTATTACTTAATGATTTGTAAAAATAATATTGTCAACTGTAATTTTTATGAGCAAGTACTCACCATTACCACCAAAGATATGAATATCCAATTGTTCACAAAGGTACATGACAAATGTATTCACCTGAGGCAGGAGACCAACGAAAAATACGATTGGAAAACAGAGTGTAAACACTACAAAAGGAAAGAAAAGCATATTTAAAAATAGTATATGCCTCAACCATCATTTCGTTCATTTAAGGCCATAAAATGATAAAAAAAATCAAAAAGTAACAAACTACAAAGAAATTTTTAAAAGATATTTTATATTATTTCTCTCTATGTAACTGCTGGGGTATTAAATAATCTTTTCAACTATGAAAGCTTTTAAAGTCTATTTTAACCATTTTCACATTATAGAAACCTGAGTTATAGAATCCAAAGGAAACCTTTCACCATCCTCTTCAAAAACAGAAGAATTACCATATTTGCTCATTAGCTTTTCTTCATTCATAATAGTCCTATTGTTGTTTCTCACAGTGAGGTTTACAATAAATAATAAAGTAAACCTATTAATACTATTTATATCCACACATTTATCAGTAAACTATTTGTATATAAATAAATTAATGTTAGGACATGAAACACGTTAAAGATGACTCACCTATAACTAAATCTCTGGCTGATACAAGCACCAGTGGATTAGTGAAAGTGACTCCATATAATTTGAACTTGGTCGTAGTGAGGTTTCTGCTTCCATAATCCAAGAGCCAAATAAGACCACAGCATAAACAGAAATAAACTGGTCTACTGTAGGCAATGATACGATTATGACCCTGAAAATAATATTTTAAAAGTTAGTTTAGCTGATTTTAAGAGAGTATGAGATCTTTATGCTATTTCTAAGGATTAAGTTAGGAAGCTGATTTTTTTGGGTGGAGGAGGTTGAAGTGATACTGGGATAGTATGAGCTCATTATTATTAATATCTATATAAATAGAATGAGAATAGATGCATGTAGGTATAAAGTTGATCCTTGAACAAGTCAGGCTTAGGGGCACTGACTCGCCGCCACCCCCCCCACCCCACACTCGACCATCAATAATCTGAATAACTTCTGACTCCCCAAAAGAGGGTTAGAGGCACCGACATTCCCTCCGCAGTCAAAAATCTGCATATAATTTTTGACTCCCGAAAAACTTAACTATTAATAGCCTACTGTTGACCAGAAGCCTTACCAGTAACATAAATAGCTGACACATACTGTCTATGTTATACGTATCATACATGGTATGCTTACAATAAAGTAAGCTAGAGAAAAAAATGTTATTAGGAAAATCATTAGGAAGAGAAAATATATTCACAGTATTTTTAAAAATCTGCGCATATGTGGACAGCTACAGTTCAAAACCGTGTTGTTCAAGGGTCAACTGTACATACACATCTATTCTTATATCTATGGATATGTATATGTCTGTACATATGCATATACATATATACATTTCCTAGCTTTATCCAATAAGAAGACCTAGAAGCAATGACGTTCTAGGAATATAGATTACTACTATCCAGATCTTAGTTTATATATACCATTACTCACTAAAAAACAAACAAACAAACCAGGGCTCCACAGAGAAAAGGCTGTTTCACACGGGGGTAGGGAAAGTATGCAGTGGGCTTGGAACGCACATTATAGTGCACCTCCCCCACCCCACAACCACAGGAAGCACTTCAAGAATGATAAGGGTATGTCAAAAAGACACAGAAGGCAACTAGATGGGCTCCCGATGGCCAAATCAGAAACAATTTGAGCATTAAAATAAATGATAGTAACATCATATATAGCTGATTGGATAAAACAAGAACTCATGAATCTACACCAATATTAAAAATAAAAACAGCGGTGCTGGGAAGATGGCGAGCGACGGAGTAGGATGGAGCAGATTCTAGCTCCCGTACTCGTGGGTGAAAATCCTGGCAGATCTATAGAGAAGCAGAGCACTAATCCATTGGTTATCCAGTATTTGTGAAATTAAAAGAACAGAGATTGTGACGGACGCTGAAACACCAGAACGCAGCAGGTCAGTGGGGTCTTGGGGACCAGAGTAAAGACAAAGTGGCGGCGGGGGCGGCGCCCCCAGCCAGGGACCAGAGCCATCGGTCTGAGACCAACACCAGAGGTGTCTGCCACAGGAGCCTGGGCACCCAGCGGCCTCAGTGGCCACCAGTGTGGGCCAGCAGCTCCCCCGCTCCCCGTATAAGCAAAACTGGACAACACCGGGCAGAGACCTGTGGACAATACCGGGCAGAGACCTGTCTTCTTGCTTGCAGAGATCTGCTTGTTTGCCGGCTTGCATTACCAGGGAGGGTTACAAAGACACAGGGCCTGGTTCAATTGCAGACTCTGTGGTCACAAGCCTGGGAGAACTGAGAGATGCACTGGCCTCACTGGTCTCTCTGGGGACTGGGCTGGACTGAGAGGCAGGCTGTCTGGAGAGGTTTGTTTTTTTTTTTGAAAGTGGACTGAGGTGTTCTCCTGCCAGGACAGCTTGGCTTGCTTCCCACCCAGCCTTGCAGTGAGCCAGGGGGAAAGCGGAGGCATTTGGAGACTCGCCACAGGACTGGGAAGCACCCTACCGGTTTCGTGGGTCCCAGACAGCTTGGCGGGTGCACAAAGGCGCAGAAGCCTCTGAGTCCCCGACACAGGACTGGGAAGCACCTTGCCGGTTGCAACTGGCCGGTGTGCACAGGTGCAGAAGCAGTTGAGTCCCACCACAGGACTGGGAAGGACCCTACCAGAACCCCTGGGACCCAAGCAGCTTGGCAAGTGTGTGGGCGCCCACACCCCAATCTGGTAGCCTGGCTGGTGCGCGCACTTTCGCCAGCATCCCAGCCCACAGAGAGATCCTGCTGCAACCAGAAAAACCAGTCTGGACAGTTTGAAACCAACAAGGGAAGGGTGTCTCTGTTGTTGTTGTTATTATTTTTTTGTTCTTGTTTGTTTGTTTGGGGGTTTTCTTTTTTCTCCCCCTTTTTTTAGTAACTTTTGTGCATCTGTTTAGTAATGTTATATATTTTTAAATTTTATCACTGCTTTATCTTTCTATACTTTGTTCCTCTCCTTTCTTTTTCCCTGTTTTAGTCATTCTTCCTTTCCTCTTAAACTCATCACTTTAGCCTCCCTTCTCCTGCCTTTTTGCTTGATTGTTTGTTTGTTGCTTCATTTCCTTTTACCCACAAGAGACACAAACAACTAGGAACTCTGAAAGGACCAGAATGGGACCCAAAGAGGGGACATCTCAACAGTAGAGACAGAGAGGCAAATTTCACCTTCCTATATCAGAGAAGCCACGAGGTGTTGCATATTTTTTTCATTATTCTCACTTCTTTTATATTTTAATAATATCTCTGTATACCTCCTCTTTCTGTATAGGGTTCTCAGTCTTGAGTAGTTATATTGTATTATTAGACAGGCTCCCCGTTTTTTCCTCCACAGTGCTTTGCTAATCCTCTAACCTCCACGCCACTTGTTTTCCTTTAGTGCACTACCTAAAGCTCTATACCCCCTACTCAGACAGATCACACAGAGTTTGTTATATGAGTGCTGCTCTAATATTAGTGTAGCCCTGGCTGGTGTAGCTCAGTGGATTGAGTGCGGGCCTGGGAATCAAGCAACCACGGTTCGATTCCCAGTCAGGGCACATGCCTAGGTTGCAGGCCAGTTCCCAGCAGGGGACACACAAGAGGCAACCATACATTGCTATTTCTCTTCCTCTCTCCTTCCCTTCCCCTCTAAAGATAAATGAATAAAGTCTTTAAAAAATTAGTGTAAATAATAGCTGATCTATATAACAGTAAATACTTTACAACACATCTCCCGGATCTTAGCCCATTGTACGAGTCCCTGAATTCTATCACTGTAGTGATTAACTCTATTTGCTCACACACTACACCTATTTACTGTTCCTTATACTCACCTTACCTCAAAATCTGACCGTCTAAAACCTCACTGCTTTCTAGTTCAACTAACAAGCCTTCCCTCCCCAACAAGAGGCTTATCTTTTGTCCATCCTCTCGTAAAAGTGGCAAGTTGGGCTGAAGAATACGGTTAACACTATATATAGCCTAAAGATCACCTATCTCCTCTCTACAGGTTGTGACTGTAAATATTAAAAAACTCTTCTGCTGTCATAAACCATTTTGCCTCCTCCTACAACTGATTACACATACACAATAAAAGGAATAGGTGGAAATGGAGAACATCAAGATACCTGAAGGAGTCTGCACCACTGAAATTCACAGGTATTATACCACAGAGGTTCACAACATAAACCCAGGGAGTCAGAACAGATCAATTTTAGAAGCTGAGGCTAACAAGAAGAGTCTCACAAACAACAAGAAGGCAAAGAAACAATCCCCAAATGAAAGAAAAAGCAGAGGCTTCAGAAAGAATGTTCGATGAAATAGAGGCTAATCAACTATCAGATAGTGAATTCAAAGCACTGGTTATCACGAAGTTTCAAAGAGCTACCAGAAACTACCAGAGCTACTAGAAACTACAATGAGCTACCAGAAACTACAGGGGAGCTACAATGCTCTCACGGCAAACTATATCAACATGAAAAAGGAAATGAAAACTATCAGCAAGGGACAAGAGGAAATGAAGAATACAATTTCTGAATTGAAGAACATAGTAGAAAGTTTCAAAAGTAGAATAGATGAGGCGGGGAATCAGATTAGCAAGCTGGAGGACAAAGTAGAAAGCATCTCACAGAAAGAGCACGAAAATGAAAAGAAACTCAGAAAGAATGAAGAGGGATTAAGAGAAATACAAGACAATATGAAATGTAATAATATCTGAATAATAGGGATACCAGAAGGAGAAAAAGAAGAACAAGGACAGAAAACATATTTGAAAGAGTAATGAGAGAAAATTTCCCTAATTTGATGAGAGAAAAAGTCACACAAATCCAGGAATCACAGAGAGTCCCAATCAAGAGGAATCCAAGGAGGCCCACTTCAAGACACATCATCATCAAAATGGCAAAATTCCAAGACAAACAGAGAATCTTAAAGGCAGCAAGGGAGAAAAAAGAAGAAACATACAAGGGAGCCCCAAGAAGGTTAGCTACTGACTTCTCAATGGAAACACTCCAAGCAAGAAGAGAATGGCAAGAAATATGCTAAGTAATGAGAACCAGAGGCCTACAACCAAGGCTACTTTACCCAACAAGGCTCTCAATCAAGATAGAAGGCCAAATAAAGAGCTTCCAAGACAAAAGAAGTCTAAAAGAATATGCCTTCATCAAACCAGCTCTACAAGAAATACTAAAAGAACTGCTTTAAGGAAGGGAAGGAAAAGTGGGAGACAGAGAGGAACACAGGTACAAAAATGGCAATGAATAAGTACGTATCAATAATAACCTGAAACGTAAATGGATTAAATGCTCCAATCAAAAGACATAGAATAGGTGAATGGGTAAGAAAGCATGACCTTCACATATGCTGCCTACAAGAGACCCACCTCAGGACAAAAGACCATCACAGACTAAAAGTGAAAGGCTGGAAACAAATTTACCAAGCAAACGGACAAGAAAAAAAAGCTGGGGTAGCAATTCTCATATCAGACAAAACAGACTTCAAAAAGAGGGCCATAAAGAGAGACCCAGAAGGTCACTTCATAATACTCAAGGGAAGAATCCACCAAGAAGACATTAACATCATAAATATATATGCACAAAACATAGGAGCACCAAAATATATCAAGAAAATCTTAGAGGACTTCAAGAAAGATATTGACAGCAACAGACAGAATTATAGTAGGGGATTTTAACAC